TGTAATCTATATAATAAAAGAAAGTCGTGTTAGTTACACAATTTATAACTCAAGAACGGCAGAATAGATTTGGCTGAAAATTGGTAGGGAGGTAGCTTAGAGCCAGGAGACCGACATAGGATACTTTTTAACTAATACTTTTTTTTTACTTTTTACCGAAAATCACGAAAGGGGACGGGAAAAAATGGAATTACGCGTACGAAGTCGCGGGCAGAAGCTAGTAAATAAGCTAAATAAGCTAAAAGTATATAAGCTAGGTAAGTAAGTACACTTAATCTATCTAATAAACTTGGGTTACTGACCCTCGTGACTTCGGATTCCAACAAAATTCTAAACGATTGTGCTCAAACGTGCGTTGATTTTTCAACCAGATTGCTTTGAGCTATTCGCAAACTTTGAAATGTTTGACAACGAAGACCTTTCGTTATGTGAATACCAATATGATGATATTGTGTTGTTGCTGCAATATTAAATACATAGACAGGCTACTTCGGTACGTGCTTTGCCTGGGAGCTTTCACTTTAGCTGTCAATTATGCAATAACCACTGCTTAGTGTTTCGGGGATTGAATAAGCTAACAGCTCTAGATTTTGAAAATATGTAATTTAGCTGTAAAGTTAAACACGAAAAATTCACGCGAACCTATTGTGTTTTACTACGTAGCGTACTTATGTATTAAACAACACGTTAGACATATTTTTATTGATTAATAGTAAGTAGGCTTTAATTTCTATAGAAACCACATGAAAAATAAATAATCGTCTGTGAAAAGTGTTGACTTGATCTGTTCACAGAATAACAGAATAACCATAAATAGTATGGACAACATGTTTACTCGGGGAGTGGTGAAGTCATAAATATTTTTATGCACTTATGTCAGGGTCTGTTTCTCTGTAACCCTTCATTGCCACTGATTCACGAAATCTCATTCATTGCGGGCCGTGGAGGCTTTTTGTGTGACCTCAATTTTAAAGGATAAATAAAAGTTATTTATAAACACCAAATAAAGATTTATCATCCTTTAAAAATAACCTACAACCTTCAGTACTTTGTATAAAGACTATTTTATAAACGGCACACTTGCATCAAAGTTGTACCTATGACGTTATCGAACGGCTATTTCCTGATTACTTCATAATAAATCTAGTTTCTGCCTACTTGGTTTATTTCCCAGTGGTGGGTTGATACTGATAGGAAATGAGGTACAGCCTTCGGTTTTAGTCCCTAGCTAGTAGCTACTGAAGCAAAGTTTAAATGGGCACGCAACCACACATGGTACTTCTAGTTATACTTACATTTAATCTTTCTGGTTAACCGTGATAGATAGCCAATGGATTACGTGTTCATAGATACCATGCTTCCATGAAATAAGTTATGACTATGAGTTTCTATAAAAACTACAACATATAGCAAAAGCAAAGTAAAAGAACCAGTGATATGAAAATATTCTTCGTATCGTGGAACCTTGGCACTTCTCCACAATAAACACTTTAACTACAAGCTGCATTTTCACGCATTCCTTTAAAATTGAAACAATACAAGTGGTACTTGTTGTAAACGTATGAGTTATAAGTATGACGAATTATTAGTTGCACTAGCCGTGGTAACGACATAGTTTAATTACAACTATTCGCGATAATCCGAGGTGAAAGTGTGAACGCAGCTGATAAGTGTTGTTGAGGCGACACGGTCGGCAGCTTGCGATCGCGAATTTATCAATATGTCAAACAAAAATCCAATTGTTATCTATCTAATAACTTATTCTGTACAGTGCAGGCAACGTAAGCGGTACTTGGAAGTCAGTTGCCATCGCTCAATGCTTCATAGTTTCGTGAATCGTGATATGAACGTATAGCAAATAATGTGACCTTTGAAAAGTATTGGAATTTTGTGATTTGCAACCATGGTCTTAAGGTAAAGCTTAATTGATTTGTCTCATTGTGAATCGATTACAAACAAATCATTAAACGCTGCCTTTTAAAAAACGTATAATATTTTTGAATGTTTGATTCGTTGAGTGTTACGATTTAAAGAAAATTATTCTGATGAACTATAGTAAAATAGTGGGATTAATAAATACAATAACATAAGATAGACATGCGTCAGGTAATTTAATAACTGGAGAAAAGTTAATGTATTTGGTATTGTGTTTGCAAACAGAAACAACAAAGTCATATGTATCGAGTATTGAGATTAAGTAAAAGTAGTAGGTAATTTGTAAATACATAACTGTTTTAAAATATCCATCAAAACTTACTGGCTTGGTAAACTGTATCACATTAAAATGCAGTCGCGCCTTATTTTGCGAAAGATATTCCACACCGGCAATTTTCGCCCACACATTGCAAAATTGTATCGAATAAGACTGATTTCAGTTCAAGATATCGTTTGATAACAAAATAGAATAATCAGGAAGTTTTTGATAGATTACCAATATTTTAAACGATAATGTCATTCTAAAGTACAAACAAAGAATTACCTATTACATCAAGATTGAACACTGTAAAGTTAAGAAGTCCTTAAACATACATTGCACATCGTTTATCCCCATGAGAGCTGTAGATATTCCTGAGACAAAGTATTAGTATATACACCTATTATTATCCTTCCTTACAAATACATTTCAGTTCAGATTCATTCTAGATTCATTTTAACCCTTTTCATAGTCTCTGATTACTTAAATGACCTTTACTACGTTTTTCTTTTATTTTCAATGGCAACCTTACTAACTACATAGTTCATCGATCAGTCTGAATGAAATTACACAGTAAATACATTGGAAAACGTAAATAAAACTATGACAGTGGTGTCACATGTGAGGTCGTGTGAATACTGACCTTTGTAAAGACAGCATATTGATCGGAACAGAGGCGTAAGGGATCAGGGATGTGTTTGTTCCCCATCGCTAGGCGACTATAAAACTGGAGCAAACCTATTAAACTGTGAAGAATACGAACCCTTAATATTTAAGGGACACGATATCTTCAAGTAGGTATCTAGTTATTTGTTTCGTATTTGAACAATTACTTATTGGTATGAAAGAAAACTCTTTCAGTTCCTTTAGTGAAAGTCTTACTAATTTATCTTAAAGTTAAAACTAATTTGTCTTTAAGCGATAGGCAGATAGATGAGATAGAGAAGTTTTTAAGTAAACAGACATAAGGTTTAATCCGTTACGAGCACAATACTAAACACACGACCCTGTGCGTCTTCTGAAAATTCTAAAATCAGTTTGTCCGTATAACAATCCTGGCCTGTAAAAACAGATATAACTATATTTATACATAGTGTATCATATGCCTTACTTACTTTTGCTATCGAAGAGGCTACGTGGTTCTCCTTGTGAGTGGAAAGGGGGTCGCCATATTCGCGTTCCATTGACTCATTGCTATATCTGGATTACCTCTTGCGAACTGCAGCCGCCTACTCTCATGCACTGTGTAGGCCTGGTTGAAATTAAAATCATTCCTTTTGATTTATACTCCTTTTAAGAAGCTGTTTGATTTAAACAGTGAACACTGTAATTGAGTTTAAGTCGACGGTGACGTCAACGCTTAATTTAGCGAAGCGATGAAAGAACAGTGAAATGAATGAGTGTGTGAGCTCGTGAGCTCGGAATGTTGATGCGGCAATTTGAGATTGAGTGATTCTTTGTTTTGAGCTTTAGTCAGATTTATAAATGTTTGATTAGATTAGTGTGAATGATCGTAAACTTGCGTGAGAGGAAAGAGTTCTTTGATAAAATTGTATTATTTACACACATTTATCAATATGAATCAACAATTGATTATTGTCGAAAATAAATTAAGGTAACTCTAAAACGTATTTCATTTAGAATATATTTTGTGTACGTTGCGGTAGTATGATGGTTCTTGTAGCTTCATGAAAGGTTCAGTAGCCGTTGCTGTGGCAACAGTAACGCGGTCACTCGGCCTATTCGATTGTGTCACAGATTTCATGAAAGATTACATTGACAATGTAACATTTTGTAGTTTCATATGAAATATTCACGTTCATAAAGCTGATGATTGATAAAATAGCTTGGAGGGTGTGATTGCTAAATATTCAATTGATTTCAAACTATCTATGTTTATTTTTATGACATACATATGGCTGATAACCTTCGGTCCACATTACTTAGACGTCTCAATCAATACCATTAATAGTTTATGAGTAATCAATATCTAGGTAAGTGGGTTAAGTTAGATTTCATTTTTAGAACGTCTCTTTCGTTTTATGTCAGACAGCGATTAATTGTTGGGTGTTCTATACATACGTACCGACTTGTTGATAGGAGAAGCCGTTTCAGTTTCATGAGCCGGCACGACACGGCAGTGCGCGCTGCGAGCTCGACGCCGCTGGGTTAAACAAATACACACTTCCATATCCACAAATCACGCTAAATAATAAATGAAATAGGAACAAAAAGTTTTAGGCAATAGATTCTTTGCTAGCGATAAGTGTGATTCAAATAGCAAAAGGTTTCCGCGGTAGCCAAATTAATTCTGTTTAACGTTAACTTTACAGTTTGTATACAGTCCGTGTGAACCGTTCAGTCTGTGCCAAGATTTCTAAGCGTCGAGTTGATTTTACTTTCCTTTAGTGGCATTGTGAACTGATAAGTTATAAGGTCTTAAATATTGAAATGTATCATAAAAATCTCATGCGAGTAATGGGTACGCTGAACCAGTTAAATAGAGAACAGACATGCAGTGCTTCCAGCACCATCGTCTAGTGTCTCTGTAGGTAACGGGAGGTAGGCGAGGTGAGCGCGATGGCCGCGTGTGATGGCCAACTCACTGACGCTGCCACCTTTGCCGCTACCCAGAAGATTCCCACTCTCTCTTCATCCTTATCGTGTCAAAAGGTGTGATTTTTGTTAACAACTAGATTAACGGCATATACTCTAACTCTCTCTGATATCTAAATATTTTAAACTATAAGTAGATCAACAAGGCTTGTAGATAAGTTTCTACAATTTCATATTTTCGTATTTGCAGGCGTCATCGCTGCCCACACAACGATGTCCCGGAGCCATTGTTCGATGTGGAGCACACGACCAGCGTGGTCTCCGCGTACAAACGCGATTACGACGAGAAACACGTGACTCGTACTACTGCTGTCCACCACGAGGATCACCTTCGTCTTGAAGGCGATTTCCAAGAGCCAGAGCGTCCTCAGTGGCAACCTGCTGAGCGACCTAAACAAAGGAAACCCGAAGATAACCTTAAGCCTGAAGGAGATTTTGAGAAAAGGCAACCTGAGGAATGGCGTCCGGGTGATCGTGCACCCGTCCGTAGGCCTCATGACAACTTGAGACCAGAAGGCGAATTCACAACTCCTGAAAAAGAACCATGGAGACCTGCTGAGAGGGAAAAACCTAAAAAACCTGAGGATAACCTGAAACCTGAAGGTGATTTTGAGAAACGACGTCCTGAAGAATGGCGTCCCGGAGACAGAGCTCCTACTCGTCGCCCAGAAGATAACTTGAAGCCAGAGGGTGATTTCGAGAAACGACAGCCTGAAGATTGGAGGCCAGGTGATAGGGTACCGGTACGTCGCCCTGAGGACAATTTACGTCCAGAAGGTGATTTCGAGAAACGTCGACCAGAAGAGTGGAAACCTGGTGACAGGGCTCCCGTGAAACGTCCTGAAGATAACTTGAAACCTGAAGGTGACTTCGAAAAACGGCAACCGGAAGACTGGCGGCCAGGTGATAGAGCTCCTGTGCGTCGACCTGAGGATAATTTACGCCCAGAAGGAGACTTTGAAAAACGTCGTCCAGAAGAATGGAAACCCGGTGAACGGGCTCTAGTGAAACGTCCTGAAGATAACCTGAAACCTGAAGGCGACTTCGAAAAACGTCGGCCAGAAGAATGGCGCCCTGGTGATAGAGCTCCTGTTCGTCGACCTGATGATAACTTAAGACCCGAGGGTGAATTTACAACACCTGAAAAAGAACGTTGGCAACCAGCTGAACGTCCTAAACAAAAGAAGCCCCAGGATAACCTAAGACCTGAAGGCGAATTTGAGCAGCCGAAACAAGATGAATGGCGTCCAGCAGAACGAGTTACTCAGAAGAAACCCAAGGACAACCTTAAACCGGAAGGTGACTTTGAGCAGCCGAAGCATGAGGAGTGGAGACCTGCTGAAAGGCCAATTGCTACAAAGCCTAAGGACAACCTCAAGCCTGAAGGCGACTTTGAACAACCTAAACATGATAAGTGGCAACCAGCAGAACGCGTCACTCAAAAGAAACCTAAAGATAATCTTAAGCCTGAAGGTGACTTTGAGCAACCAAAACCCGAAGAGTGGCGTCCTGCTGAGAGGCAAACACCTAAGAAGCCTCAAGACAATTTACGTCCCGAGGGTGACTTTGAAACACCAAAGCAAGACGAATGGCGCCCAGCAGAACGTGTTACACAAAAAAAACCACAGGACAACCTAAGACCAGAAGGTGAATTTACTACACCTAAGAAGGATGAATGGAAACCAGCCGAAAGACCTCAACAAAAGAAACCTACTGACAATTTGAAACCAGAAGGTGAGTTTGCGAAGCGACAACCTGATGAGTTTGTTCCTGCTGAAAAGGCTGTAGTGAAAAAGCCTGAAGATAATCTACGGCCTGAAGGGGATTTCACAACTAGACGAACTATAACAGAAGATTACAAAGTTGTTACTGGCGAGCGAGCCGAAATTATTCGCCGAACTGACAATATTATTACAGAAGGAGAATTTACAGGTAATTAATCTTGATTTATCCTTAATTTTGTTTTAAAATATAGATTCATAATATAATTCTACGTCATAAATATAAAAATATTTTTTCCTCAATACCCAAGTCCTATACAAATAGGTAATGTTTAAATTACAACTATAAGGCTCTAACTACAGTTAACAAATACATTACCTATTATGAATAAAGTTTGTGAGCTTATTTAATAAATAATTATATATCTCATATTTCAGATACTACAACTTCTCGCACAGAGTATACTGTGAAGCCAGTGGAACGACCAAAACCAGTTCGTCGAAACACATGGACGAAGATAGAAGGCGACATGACAACAGAAACAACAAATCAGTCAGAATTTGTTGATTACACTGACACAGTAGAAAGAACAACATTGGTCGCGCGGAGAACAGACAACTTAATACGAGAAGGAGAAATAGAATTTGTTACTTCCAATCAGAAAGACTACCCAGAGAAGGTTACACCAGTTGAACGCCCGAAACGCCGTCGCACGTGGACGAAAGAAGATTTTGAAAAGTTTTATTCCACAGAAGAGCTCGAAAAAATTACTACTTCTCAAGAAGAATACAGAACATACGAAGAAATTGATGTAAGGCAACAGAGAATAATAAGAAAAGATAATCTACACATGGAAGGAACATTTGACAGTCATACTGTATCCCACGATACTTATGGACCTAAACATTCAGAGAGACCAAAACAAAAGAAACCAATTGATAACTTAAAACCAGAAGGAGATTTTGAGCAACCTAAACAAGACGAATGGCGACCAGCAGAGCGTGTCACACAAAAGAAACCTAAGGATAATCTAAAACCTGAGGGTGAATTTGAGCAACCGAAACACGAAGAATGGCGTCCAGCAGAAAGACAGACGCCAACAAAGCCTAAAGACAACTTGAAACCCGAAGGAGATTTTGAACAGCCGAAACACGATGAATGGCGACCTGCAGAACGCGTTACTCAAAAGAAACCTAAAGATAATCTTAAGCCTGAAGGTGACTTTGAGCAACCAAAACACGAAGAGTGGCGTCCTGCTGAGAGGCAAACACCTAAAAAGCCTCAAGACAATCTACGTCCCGAGGGTGACTTTGAAACACCAAAGCAGGACGAATGGCGACCTGCAGAACGTGTCACACAGAAGAGACCTAAAGATAATCTTAAACCCGAAGGTGAATTTGAGCAGCCGAAGCATGAAGAATGGCGTCCCGCTGAGAGACAAACACCCAAGAAACCTCAAGACAATCTTCGTCCTGAAGGTGAATTTGAAACACCAAAGCAAGATGAATGGCGTCCAGCAGAGCGTGTTACACAGAAGAAACCCAAGGACAACCTTAGACCAGAAGGAGAATTTGAACAACCGAAACATGATGAATGGCGTCCCGCTGAGAGACAAACACCTAAGAAGCCTAAAGACAACTTACGCCCTGAAGGTGAATTTGAAACACCAAAGCAGGATGAATGGCGTCCAGCAGAACGCGTTACACAGAAGAAACCTAAGGATAACCTTAAGCCTGAGGGAGAATTCGAGCAACCGAAACAAGAAGAATGGCGTCCAGCAGAAAGACAAACTCCAAGAAAACCAAAAGATAACCTAAAACCTGAAGGTGATTTTGAACAACCTAAACATGAAGAATGGCGTCCTGCTGAAAAGCAAACACCAACCAAACCACGTGATAATTTGCGACCAGAAGGTGAATTTGAAACGCCCAAGCAAGAAGAATGGCGTCCAGCTGAAAGAGTTACCCAGAAAAAACCTAAAGATAACTTAAAACCTGAAGGTGAATTTGAACAACCTAAACATGAGGAATGGCGTCCAGCCGAGAGACCAGTTCAAAAGAAGCCCCAAGATAACCTCAAGCCAGAAGGAGAATTCGAACAACCAAAACATGATGAATGGCGTCCCGCTGAGAGGCAAACTCCTAAAAAGCCTAAGGACAACTTACGCCCTGAAGGTGAATTTGAAACTCCCAAGCAGGACGAATGGCAGCCAGCGGAGCGTGTCACTCAGAAAAGGCCTAAGGATAATTTACGACCAGAAGGTGAATTTGAACAGCCGAAGCATGACGAATGGCGTCCAGCAGAGCGTGTTACCCAGAAGAAACCCAAGGATAACCTTAAACCAGAAGGAGAATTCGAACAACCAAAACATGACGAATGGCGTCCCGCTGAGAGGCAAACTCCTAAAAAGCCTAAGGACAACTTACGCCCTGAAGGTGAATTTGAAACACCAAAGCAGGATGAATGGCGTCCAGCAGAACGCGTTACACAGAAGAAGCCTAAAGATAATCTTAAACCTGAAGGTGAATTTGAGCAACCGAAACATGATGAATGGCGTCCCGCTGAGAGGCAAACACCTAAGAAGCCTAAAGACAACTTACGTCCTGAAGGTGAATTCGAAACACCAAAACAAGACGAATGGCGACCAGCAGAGCGTGTCACCCAGAAGAAACCTAAGGATAATCTACGTCCGGAGGGAGAATTTGAACAGCCGAAACAAGATGAATGGCGTCCCGCTGAGAGACAAACACCTAAGAAGCCTAAAGACAACCTACGCCCTGAAGGTGAATTTGAAACACCAAAGCAGGACGAATGGCGACCAGCGGAGCGTGTCACCCAGAAGAAACCCAAGGATAATCTACGACCGGAAGGAGAATTCGAACAACCAAAACATGATGAATGGCGTCCCGCTGAGAGACAAACACCTAAGAAGCCTCAAGACAATTTACGCCCTGAAGGTGAATTCGAAACACCAAAGCAAGATGAATGGCGTCCAGCAGAGCGTGTTACACAGAAGAAACCCAAGGATAACCTTAAACCAGAAGGAGAATTTGAACAACCAAAACATGATGAATGGCGTCCCGCTGAGAGACAAACACCTAAGAAGCCTAAAGACAACCTACGCCCTGAAGGTGAATTTGAAACACCAAAGCAGGACGAATGGCGACCAGCGGAGCGTGTCACCCAGAAGAAACCCAAGGATAATCTACGACCGGAAGGAGAATTCGAACAACCAAAACATGATGAATGGCGTCCCGCTGAGAGACAAACACCTAAGAAGCCTCAAGACAATTTACGCCCTGAAGGTGAATTCGAAACACCAAAGCAAGATGAATGGCGTCCAGCAGAGCGTGTTACACAGAAGAAACCCAAGGATAACCTTAAACCAGAAGGAGAATTTGAACAACCAAAACATGATGAATGGCGTCCCGCTGAGAGACAAACACCTAAGAAGCCTAAAGACAACTTACGTCCTGAAGGTGAATTTGAAACACCAAAGCAGGACGAATGGCGACCAGCAGAGCGTGTCACCCAGAAGAAACCTAAAGACAATCTTAAACCAGAGGGTGAATTCGAGCAGCCGAAACATGATGAATGGCGTCCCGCTGAAAGACAAACACCTAAGAAGCCTCAAGACAATCTTCGTCCAGAAGGTGAATTCGAAACACCAAAGCAAGATGAATGGCGTCCAGCTGAGCGTGTTACGCAAAAGAAACCCAAAGACAACCTTAAACCTGAAGGACAATTCGAACAACCGAAACATGATGAATGGCGTCCCGCTGAGAGACAAACACCTAGGAAGCCTAAAGATAACTTACGTCCAGAAGGTGAATTTGAAACACCAAAGCAGGACGAATGGCGACCAGCAGAGCGTGTCACCCAGAAGAAACCCAAGGATAATCTACGACCGGAGGGAGAATTCGAACAGCCTAAACAAGATGAATGGAGACCTGCAGAGCGCCCAGTTCAGAAAAAACCAAAAGATAACCTCAAACCAGAAGGGGAGTTTGAGCAACACAAACCAGATGAGTGGCGACCAGCTGATAGACCCATTGCAAAGAAACCTCAAGATAATTTGAAACCTGAGGGCGAATTTGAGAAACCTAAACCTGATGAGTGGCGTCCTGCTGAACGACAAACGCCTAAGAAACCTCAAGATAATTTAAGACCGGAAGGCAAATTTGAAACCCCTAAACAAGATGATTGGCGTCCTGCAGAAAGGCCCGAAGTTAAAAAACCGAAAGATAACTTGAGGCCGGAGGGTGAATTTGAAAAACCAAAGCAGGATAAATGGCAACCAGCTGAAAGGCAAACACCCAAAAAGCCACAAGACAATCTTAGACCCGAAGGTAAATTTGAACGACCTGAGAAACCGAAGCATGTTGTTGGGGAAAGACCTGTCCAAAAGAAGCCAGAGGATAATTTGAAACCCGAAGGAGACATGGAAGTAGTACGAAGAACTGATTACACAGCAACCAGAGGAGACAGAGTAGAAGTAGTTAAACATGAAGATCATTTAAGAATGGAAGGAACTATTGATACTCATCGTTCACGAGATGATTACAAGCGTATAGAGAAAACCGAAAAAGTTGTAATTCAGAGACACGAAGATAACTTGAGAACCGAAGGTGAGTTCATTGACCTTACTGTTCGAAACGACTACAGTGCTACGAAAGGTGAAAGGGCTCCTGTTGTGAAGCCTCAAGATAATTTGAAACCTGATGGTAAATTTTACAAACCTGAGGTTGTTCCATCTAAACCAGCTGAGCGACGCAAACCATTTAAACAGGTCGATAACATCACTATTGAAAGAGATGTTGATTTACGCCAACGTCAAAAGATTGAGCGGCTTGATATAATTCGAAGAGAAGATAACTTAAAGATTGAAGGGGAATTTATCGACATGAAACAAAAAACTGATTACAATAAGGTCGTAGGTGAACGGGCTGCTATTGTAAGACATGAAGACAATTTGAAAATGGAAGGTACAATGGAAAATGTCCGTTCATCTGATACGTATCGTGTCGTTAAAGGACAAAGAGTGAAATTGACTCGACGTGAAGACAACCTGAAAATTGAGGGAGTATTTGAAGATCACACGCGAAGGGATGATTATAAGGTGACTAAAGGTGAAAGGTCGGCTATTGTTTACCATCGCGATAATTTAAAACCCGAAGGTGAATTTGAAAAAAGACCTAAGGAACAGATTGAACCTGGTGAAAAACGAACTCCGATTAGACAACCTGATAGTTTGAGACCTGAAGGTGATATTGAAAGACCATCAAAACCAAAATGGGAACCATCTGAACGACCTGATTTGATTAAACATCAAGATAACTTACATCCAGAAGGAGATTTTCCAAGTCGTCCAAAAACGCAATGGCAGCAAGGAGAGACGCCAGAACAAGTACGCCCAAAGGATAACTTAAAACCCGAAGGAGATTTCCCAAGCCGCCCAAAAACTCAATGGCAGCGAGGAGAAACGCCAGAACAAGTACGCCCAAAGGATAATTTAAAGCCAGAAGGAGATTTTGATAGGCCCTCACGGCCGAAGTGGGCAACGTCGGAGAGGCCGGAACAAGTGAGACCTAAAGACAACTTACGTCCTGAAGGTGAATTTACAGATAGGCCTAAAACTCAGTGGCAGCCTGGTGAGACACCAAGTCAAGTTCGACCTAAAGATAATTTAAAACCAGAAGGCGATATGGATTCGCGTACCCCTCAAAAATGGGCTCCAGGTGAAACACCAGCACAAATTCGTCCAAAAGATAACTTAAAACCTGAGGGTGACTTTGATCGTCCTTCTAGACCTAGATGGTCACCTGGTGATAGACCTGAACAAGTAAGGCCAAAGGACAACTTACATACCGAAGGTGAGTTCACTGACAGGCCCAAAACTCAGTGGCAACCCGGTGAGACACCTTCTCAAGTTCGGCCTAAAGACAATTTACACCCTGAAGGTGACATGGTTTCACGTACACCATCTAAATGGGCCCCGGGAGAGACACCTTCTCAAGTTCGTCCTAAAGACAATTTGAAGACAGAAGGTGATGTTAGTTATCCGTCAAGGCCAAAATGGGAGACTGGAGATAGACGAAGTCCAGTTAAACCAAAAGACAACTTATATCCTGAAGGCAACATGGATTCACGAACTCCAACAAAGTGGGCTCCAGGAGAAACTCCAACTCAGGTTAGGCCTAAAGATAATTTGAGGCCAGAAGGTGATTTTGAACGACCAGGACCCCAGAAATGGAGCCCTGGAGAAAAGTCAGGACCTGTAAGACCAAAAGACAACCTTTACACCAATGGTGATATAACAAAGCATGACACCAGCAGAACACAAACGAATGACACAACAAGAAAGACTGTAGAAACTAAGTCTGTTAGTGGTCGTGATGATCATGATGTTAAATCTCAAACAGTTTCTCGTCATGATACTCATGTACATCGCGATGATCAATCTCATACGTCTCACTCGGAGACGCACGTAAGGCGATCCCACATCACTACTGATCATTCTACGTCAAAACATACTCATTCTGGTACGCACGGCAAGCATATTATTACATCACATGATGTGGTTGATCGCAGTGGGTCCCCGAAACCTGTCGAACGGGTAACGACACCCCAAGATAACATTCCTGACAGACACAGAACTGTGGGTGTTACAGATCGTTCTGTGTCCCGTAGTAGTACAGACAGGACTATAGTCAATAAAACTGACACTAAAAATCTGAAGACTCTCACTACCACAACAACCAAAACTATTAAACAAATAACAGAAAAGAAGCTTAGAGGAGGTAAATGGGTGAATGTAACACGAAATGTTGAAGTAGACGTAACTGAAGACACTGGAAAATTCACACCTCAACAATCTACACCGAAGAGAGATGTAGATGATCGTACAAGCCGCACTCGGCAAACAGGAAGTGACACAAACACAACGCAGCGAACAGTGTCATCTGATTACGTCACAACATCTTCTACAAACGAAGTCAATAGTACAACACATGGGCCAAGAGGTACACCACACGGATCATCTATTCTTGTGGATCAACAACATTCTCGAACCAACCAACAATATATTGATAACAGTCAAAGAATTCATTCATCAGCACAATCTGTTGTTTCTTCGTCCTCAAGTCAAAACGTAACAAATCAACACCACACAACACATAGAATTGTTGGCAGTTCAAATATCTCTCGTGATCATGTTGGTCAAAATACCCAACACTCAACCACTGACAGTCACATTTCCAGAGGAGGTGACACGACTCAGAGGATCGTAGCATCTGATCATTCTGGCAGGCAATCCAACCAAGGGCACGTCACTGAGAGTCACATTCAGAGAAACGTCACCTCATCAACACAAGTCCACAAAGGGACTCATTCTGAACAACATATATCAAGATCAAGTCAACATTCGACTAATAGAAATCAATTGAGTGACAGCGTTACAAAAACGAGTATAGAATTCCAGAGAGCTATGCACGGTGGTGGTAATGAACCTCCGGCCAACGTTATCGATAGCTCTTCGCGTAGCGGCCATCATAAACGCACTTCTGACTTGGTATCCGATTCCAATTCATCGAATGCAATTTTACACCGCAAAGGCGTTCATTCAAACACTGAAGCTCATCATTCGATAAGTTCAACAGCTGCTGCACAGAGAAAGAGCATCGGTAATCTCTCCGAGCGAGGTGAATACATAAGTAACTCAACGCACAGCACAGACAGAAAGAGCATTAGTTCTATGCACAGATCAACAAGAGATAACACGGCTGTCATTTCGCAACATGAAAGTTCGGATGCTCGTCGTAATCAAATAAGAAGAGATGGGCAGTCTACGCTAGCGACCGACCGTCAGCAAACACGAGTTGTTAGAGATAACTTGAGAGTAGGTGGTGATTTCTATGGTCAATCAGAAGCTCGGTCTTATGGAAGTTTTTCACGTTCCGAACATGCTCAGAAAACGGATCGTACTGAACGAGTTGAGCGCGTGGAACGGGTAACACGCCACGGAAACGCTTCAAACTTTGTCTTGGGAGACGGCAGCACTAGTTACAAGCGAGAATTTACATCCCACGTCCATGGAACTTGTCCTGCTACATTGATCGATTCTGGGCGCACTCCTTTCAAACATACGCGTGATTCTCGCGAACATAAGTTTTATGCGACGAAAATAACGCAGCAGCAATAAATATTTCTGTTGTAGCATCAGCCTAGAAAAGGCTAAAAATATTTCATTCCTTATTATTAATTATTATAAAGCTTATTTAATGTAATCCTGTTAATGTTATTTACTGTACACGCATTCTAACCTGCTAGTCTTAATTAACCATGCCTTACTATTATGCATAATGTAATAATTTGTTAATTTAACAAGTTTCTATATTGTTTTGTCAAACATTGCCATGCAATAAACTTTTATATAATTAAGGGAGTTGTTTTATTTCAAACTGATGATTGCCCAAACAACGTACCGAAGTAAGAGTTAAGTAATGCAATAGTGACTGCATAGTTGTCGCGGTGACTGGGCAACCGGCTGTCGCTCAACGTGTAGCGGGTTCGATTCCTGCACGGAACAACTTTTTGTATGATCCACAAATTGTTGTTCCGGGTCTGCCAGTCTGGGTGTAATATAAACTTGTATGTTTCTAAACGCACCCACGACACAGAAAACAATCCTAATGTGGGGCACACATAAAAAAAGAATTAGGTTAAAATAAATTGGGCCACCACTTATACAACGACTTGTTATTTTGTGTTGAGCCCGGTAAAACTGTTATTATCATAAAATTAAATATAGAAACAATAATTAAAACCTTTGTATTCGGTAATAAGCTTCATGGTAAAAAACAACAACAAAAAACAGAATATCATTTCGGGCTTGCAATCACCAAAACAGAACATCTTTTGTTGTGTGGTGAGAGGGCCCGTTTGGTATTTTAAATCACTATTATTTATTTATTATTTTTTGAGGGGTTTAAAATCATCCAATGTCTTTCCCGCCCAGGTGAGGCGAGAGGGGGGAACTAAGAACAACCCCGTTCCTACTCCTGTACTTCGAACCGGAGCCCCGGCAACCCATTAAGCCCTGCGCGGCTCCGTATCGGCATCAGCTCCATGAGCCTCATCTATGGTGGTCAGATGGCTCCTTGAGGCGCGAACAAAAGGCGACGCGCCGTACTCTCTGGTTCTGGTCGGACGGCGAGTTACCCGTGCTCGCCGTCCGCAGGTCTATAGTGAACGGTGGCCGGAGATCTCGCGATCCCCGACGCCCGGAGTGTCTCTCGCGACGGCTAGGGCGTGAGGAGGTTCGTTTTCTCACGTGCCCCGCCTTCTCCTTAACTAGCATGACTGCATCGCTCACATTTCTAGTAACTTCAAATACGGTACCAAAATCACAGTAACTTTCGGAAATTATATAGAATTTAGTGAGAAACAAATATAAGCAGAAGTAATCAGTAGTACCAGTGGGAATACGAATTACACGGGGAGGTAGGAGGGATAGTGAAATTATTATTTATTAAAAAACTCACATATTTAGACTATTTATTTATAAATGTTTACATAACAGTACCTACAAATTATACATGGTTATTTAAAATTAGTTAGTTTAATATAGGTATCGAAATATGCACTTTAGCGACTTTTAAATCAGTTAACATAGCATTAAGTATGCCTTACATATTAAAATTTTTGAAATTTATATTACAATTTTGTACGATAGAAAAATAACTTTTTAAATAACCTTAATATTTGAATACTTATAAACAAATACGTAATACAAATAATGTAAATTAAAGTTAAGTACAAACTAATGTATTGAACGCAAACATAATTTAAAATACTTAAAAATTATTTAATGTCACCTTTAAACCTTTACCTCTCTGCTAGCCATCAGAAGGAGCAAGTTCCTGGGTATTATGAGATTGTTTCACCCGTCTTATTCTCTTGTATCTAGCTAAGTCACCGTCATAGTTTCGTGGGAGAGCTCCAAATGCATCATTCTCTTGATATTGCGGAGCATTGAAGTAATTTTCTGAAACAGATTTTAATTCACTTTCAAGTATTGAAGTAGATGGCTCTAACTTGCCCTCCGGTGAGCCATTAGGGTCATTTTCAACTGTGCGTCTGTTTCTTGTCCCACTACTAAACATAAGATTGTCATCCACGCCCTCCACGCCAGACAAAACACTATCAGTATCTGAGCCGAGACTCATCGTGTCGCTTTCTAGATTTTCACGTGGTAGTTTGGAGTTATCAATAATGTTTTTAGCTGGTATAGTATTATCGGCATTGGCGACCTCGTCTTCTAAACCTTTGTTGCCATTGGCAAAGTTAGAAGTGCGATCATAAAAACCTTCATCGTCGAACTCATTACCCTCGTCGTTATCCTCATCCTCATTCTCTGCTTTGTATGGAAAATACGCTACTTTAGCATCTGGCAAAAGACCAGCTGCCCTTTTTTTAATGATTTGGTCCGAATTTTTTCGTTTTACTCTTACTAATGGACCAGAGTAAGGTGCTGAATCTTCATACGAATTTGAGTTCGGGAACGATTCCTCCAATGATTTCATAGATTCTGATAAGTCAGGTTGTTTTTCAGGATAAGCTTCCCTTTTATATGTTTTACCTTCTTGGCGAATTTGTTGGTCGTCATCTAATTTAGATAAGTTATCTTCCTGAGGACAGAAGTATCCCTGTTCACCAGCATAGTCTTGTGCATTTTGAAGGTTCAAATCATTTTCTAATATCTTGGGTTCATCGAATGCCTCCAAATCTTCTAAATTGACTTCTCTCTTATTTTCCGTTTTCGTTGTAACTTGGACATTAGCAACAATCTCGCCTTGATTTTTCGGGTCTAAATTAATAGTAAATGAATTTAGATTACTGTCTGATTTTTTCTGTTGAATACCTTCATCGTTACGTAGTTCTACTTTATTGGCGGTGCTAACACTGGTTTCAGCGCTCTTTGGAGTGGATAAGTCTACACCTTCAGTAGGTCCTCCTTCTGGTTGTTTATTGTTAATTTCTGTGGTTTCACTATTTGACACTGGAGATGGTTCTGTATTTATATCTGAAACAGGGCTACCACCTTGTACTTTACTCAGATCTGATTGACAGTTTTCAATATAGTTATTTTCTTCAACCGCTCCCGCTTTCTTCGTTATTTCTCGTTTGTTTATGAATGCATTGTCGCTTGCATCTACGTCATCGATTATCTTCTTCAATAGTTCCCTTTTTTCATCGGTAAGTGAATTCAGAAGTTGGTCTAATTCCTCTCCAGACAGTTTTTTTATGTGTCTTTTGATTGCAGTCTCTTCATCCTCACTGTCTGTTTTCTCGTTGTTTTCCTTACTGCCTGGATTATTGGATACATTTGGAGTATCTACTGGGTCAGCTTCCTTTATATCACGTCTATCTCGAGAGGTGTAAGATACACTGTCACTACTTTTGTCCTCGATCACATTATCTCTATTTTCAGCCTGCATGGTATTGTAGTACCGTTTATAATACCGTGACTGATCATTAGGGTCAGAATCTTCACTGTTACTATATCCGTTCTTATCAGCTTTGTTTACTTGATCCCTATTTTTTTCAAACAACATTTCACCTTCTTCGTTGGAAGGACCTTCAAAATCGACAGTTCTTTTATTGATTTGATTATCTGCTGGGTCCTGTATGATACGATTGGATTTGTTGACATCACGATTGGTTAAATGTTGTGTTGCTTCTTGCTGATCGTCAGTAGATTCGATGTATGTGTTTGATTGGCGACTTCTAGGAAATTGTTGAAGAGGTTCGTTAAAATGAGAGGCTTCGAGGCTGTCTTCACGAGTTTCTCGATTTCGATCTAGTTTAGAATCTGTGAGCTGTAAAAAGTAACATTTAATTATTAACTTGCATTGATTGTCCGCAATAAAATAATGGTGAATGACTTCGCTGAGCTCTCGACACGGGAAAAAGATTTCATTTGATACCTACATAAAAGATAAAAAAACGCAACGAAAAACAAATGAATAACTTACGTCATTATCCGTTTTGGTTCGGGCGAGGCGGTCATCGGCGGAGTTGCGTTGTAGATACCGGCTCTCTGTTAAATCGAGCAGGTGTCTACTGCGCGGTACCTCTCCCTCCTCTTGAACACCAGGTTCCTGTAAATTAAATTATGTATTGAAATAATATCTAGTGAGCAGAATCAGAGGGAGTCACGATCCTCAGCAGTGAGGAAATCGACTAAGAAGAAGAAGACTGAAATAACGCCCATAACGCGTCAGTAAATTAATTATGGAAAAAAACCTAAATATTTAAAAATGGGTACCTAATACCTATATTAAATCCTATGTGTAATACGAGTAATGTAGCGTAGAACTGTGTGCTATTGTCGACTTCAATTCCGAAAACCTCAATAAATAATATTTGACTCGACTCGGAAATTAAACCTGAGACCTGAGTGCCAAGCATGAATAACTATCGCATTCGTAACGTAATAGTATCGGCGCTCTGATTGGCCGGCTCAAGTGATCCAACTAATCAGAACGCTTAACGCGCTCGATACGGTTACGATACGATTACGATAGTTATTCGTGCTTGGCACTCTGTACCTATACACGCTAGCGAAAACTCTTTTATATCGAGACAGTTAAGGGCGAATGATGTCAAATAGAAACCCTTTATTTTTATACATATAATTCTGCTGTACGTTTAAATTAATTTTTCTGTACGCGTTTGAGTGGCGCTCTGGATGGTTTAGATTCACAAATCAGCCCCGAAGATGGCTCTGCAGTCGATGTCCAGGTTAATTATCCTAAACGGGTGAACTATAATTTGAATGAATTGTTGTTTATACATTCAAGTGGATATGCAGGACAACGTCTGTCGGGTCCGCTATATAGTAAGTTTATAAAACTCACATTCTCAGTCAGGCGTGATTCATCTTCTTCGCTCAGAAGGTCTTCAGCAGTTGGTTCACTCTCTTCTTCTTCTTCTGCCTCATCCACATCGCCGCTGTAACAGCGACAACATGATGTAGTTATTGAATGCTCAATCATTCTGCCTACTTGGTACAAATTACCTTCATGACGTATTTGAATATATTGCGATTACTTTTTGAATAGGCGACTTACATATTATTGTGTTGGTATTTTTCATTTATATTATGTGGTGCTACTTTTTTTTAAACGCCGCCCCACACTTGGATTTTCTCCTGTGTCGTGGGTGCGTTTACAAACATACAAGTTCACATACACATGACACACAGACCAAGAACCACAATCTGTGGATCACACAAAGAGTTGTTCGGTGCGGGAATCGAACCCTCGACACATTGCGCGGCAGTCAGTTGCCCAACCACCGCGCTAACCGTGCAGTCAACTATTAATACTTGGTTAACCCATTTTCTAGAATTATCCAATGACAAACCCAGCCCATTTTATAGTTGGTTATTCATCAGACTATCGAAAAGTTCAAACCTGATAAGGGCGGACGGACATCAGAGAATAATGAACATTGTATGAATCTTCTATCGGCGTTCTATTTGTTCTTTTTAAATTTTACTTAGAGAAAAATTGTTTTTCATAAATAAACCAGTTACCTGTCATTACTGTACTCGGCCTGTTGTGGTCTGCTAAGAATCTGTACGAGAAGACTCCCAAATAATATCAATACAAACCAAGAACGCATTTTTGCAAAGTCACACAAAATTCACTTAAAAAATATGAAATTTGACAATTGGGCGCAAAATTTGAATTAGTTTGACAGTTATTTTTATTTTTCCAGCCAGTTGGAGATCTAATAAAAAAATAATACATCTGATTAATGAGGTTGAATTAAATATAAAGCTGTCTACGTGATGGGATCAAGGTGTTTGTGTGTGTGACTGACTCTTATCATGGCCAGTGTGGCCAAAAATTGCTGTACTGGGTAAATATTTTGTTAGATACCTTGGTATCGTTTTAAAGCTACTATATTTGATAGGCCGACGTTTAACCTAGTAACCTATGGAGTTTCTTACAAAGAGTACAATAAGTATAGGGGTAGTTTCTTACTCGTTCTTATCCATAGGAATCTACACTATGGAATTAGACAGCAACTAGCTTCACTTAATTTTTGTTGTTGACGTTCAAAAGGTTTCCTGGTCTAATTGAAATAAATGATTTTGATTTTTTTTGACCACCATCTCGCCTGGGTGGTAAGCGATGATGCGGTCTACGATGGAGCACGTCGTCCTATATGTAACCTATTCACTCGAGCTTTGAAGACACCCAGATCAGGAAATACAGACTCTCGCAAAGAATACTATATTAGCCAAATAATAGACAAAGCGTTAGTTACAACCCCAAGTAATGACCTGATAGTTCCAGCACACATCGTGACGCCTCTTTATCGCTGACGAAGGGTATATAAAATTAGTTTTTATACTTCGCAGAATTAACTAAATATCGCGGGTTACTCACGTGAATATACCGAGAAGCTCTACAAATTTCGAACCACAGAGGGGTTCTTCCTCATGAGCAGCGTGAGCGGTCGCGGCGATGTCGCGCAGCCAACCAGCTACGATGTAGCTTTTCTCAGTATATTCACGTAACTTGCGATTTTTAGTTTATTTAGGTTGTCTTACGATAGTTATTATAAAAATTTAGCAGAGTTGTTTAGTTTTATTTCTGGTTCATTTGCTATTGCAATGTATTATTGCTTGGATATCCTATATACAATTTTTGGCCTTTTGTTGTACGGAGGTTCAACATACGATTGATATGCAGATTCCACTGTGACTGAAATAATAATCATTAGGCGATCCAAGTATGTACCAGATAACTAGATTCCTGGATTGGAAATATTATTAAAAACATAATCTGCAAATGGATATGCAAAGATGGTTTGTGTAAAGCAGAATGTTATGATCTTTGTACCTGCATAGAAAAGGCAAACGCATTAAGGTGGTGATGAAAAATAAACAAATACTTACAACAACTTTATTTTAAATGAGACCGTTTCATCTCTATCACACTTATGTACATTTGGTTTAAATAAAACAAACCTTTGAAACATTTTACCGCAAAATCTTCATTAAGTTTGTGCATATTTGAGAAAAAACATATGTCCTATAATTAAATGTCGTATGAATTCATAGATTTAAGAATTGTAGAAATACTCGATCACACAGATTGGTGTCTCGTTGCTTCCAAGGGCATCGAAAACATTCTCATAACTGCACATACATTTTATCCTATTACTATTTATAACTTAACTCCAAAATGCAAAAGGTAAAAAAATCCAACAGGTTTTATAACTATGAGTACTTTTCAAATGCGTGGTGTTAGTAGAGCGGCCGGGCCACGCAGTCACATAGTCATACAGTCACAGTCACCCAGTCACGTAGTCAGACAGTCAGTCACATGTCTCGCGGCGCGCCCGCTCTACTACGCACGGCATTGTCACGCACAGTCGCAACTGAACATTCACAATTTAGACTTTGTACTTTTCGAATTGAATAATAAAATAACATGGACATTATAATATTCAATGAACAGTGTCATGACAGTCGAAACATTCCAACACATACTCCATTTATTGCACCTGACTCAAACTCAAAATCAAACCCGACCGATATTCGTGAACTTCTGCATTTGGCAGACACTAGCTTATATAACATGTACATAATGTATCTAAATTTAGAAAACACTATTTAAAATTTAATAAGAAAAGAAACTTACTTTAACGACAGATTAGGCTTCACAATGAATTATGTTGTGCTTTTTACTTTATCACAATTATCGTACATTAACTATTTATACAGTACAAGTATATCATCTGTCATACAGTACATACCTCTATGGCGGAATTTTAAATAAAACTTTAAAACCATAACAACACGAACAGTCGTAAATCTGCGTACACTGTACACAACGTAAACGATATACAATACATACTTATGTTGCAATAGATATGACTTTTGTAAACGAGCAGGTATCAAATAGCCGCGGGAGGCCCGCTCGTCCCCGCTCCGGTACTTTCTATACACATATTGTAACTAATCACTGTATTCAAATTGCCTCATAATTGTAATGGAATGAAATCTGTACATTTATAATCAGTTGAATTGTATGAATCTGTTAAAACTTCCTGAACATAATTTGATGACTAGACTCTTAAAACATAATATAATGAGCATTTACAAAACAGAAAAACACAAATGTCTACTTGTATGTCAGTGCACTCGTAATATTAACTGGACGTCCGTATTAAAACAATTTCAATGTCATACATGTATTATAAAAATTATAGAATTATAAGCTCATATAAAGAGAGAAAATATATAGATAAATTAATGTTACGAGTGCAAGGTGTATTTAACAACTAAATATATCAAAACTTAATAACTATATAAAGTTTAACTTCAGATAGTTACTGTTCTATTAACAGAGAACAAGGATATGATCTAGCATCGAGTATCTGTCGGAAACTACTTGCGAACGAATGTGTAACTTAGTCACAGGGGTATAGAGAACTATTCACGTTTACGTTGTCGTTTCGTTATTTAGAAGCTAAAGTATGGCTGTGGTTATTAAAATCGTTATTTTTGAAAGACGAAACGTAAACGTTAACAACTCTGGAGGAAACTGCTGGCCAGATCGAATGTGCTAGCTACATTATAATAATGAAATCGGGTACCCAGCGATGGGATGTCGCACTTGTCGTGCGAAGATACGGTCCAACCGTAAGAATAAATTGACAACTATTCAGTCGAGACATTTCCGTAAATGCTAAATCATACGTTGAGTACGATTGAAGTATACAGACAGGGCGAGGAATGCCATGATAAATTGTTGCGGTATTAAGATAGAGTTAGCGACAAAAGTCGAACAAAAGGCAGTAACGTCAGTAGAACTCGCTCTAGAACAAGACCGCATTGATGGCATTCCCAAAAAAGGCTAAGTATTCTTAACCTGTGATCTTGTACGTGCTTGAAAGATTATTTATTTACAAAAATATTTCATGTCATTATAATAAAATTGTACTTTTATCAACAAAGTAAACAACTAAAAGGTGCTCGTGGCACAGGAAATAATCCAATTTCTCAATACAGACGTATCGCCCTACACATCTGAGCCCATCGCTGGCTATCCGGTATACAAATTGTACAATGAGGGTTTCAGTTTCAAAGACGTGTTTACAATCACAACACGGAAACAAAGTGATGTGTAAAGACTAGAGCATTACTCACAAAAGTATTGATTGATAGTCTTACAACGATTTACTGTCCAGCACGTCTACTTACTATAATGATACTTGAACTGTGACGTAGATCATACGACAATAAATCCTTACAAAACAAAGTGTGAGCACTGCTACCCTTTACCTACATGATTAGACCAAGTATAATAAAAAAATAAAAAATCGAACTTACATAATCGATGTATACAATTCGAGCCGCGCAACCATACATACGCACATATTTAGATATGTTTGCGACAAAAGCTTATTAAAAACCTCATAAACAGCATCCCTCTTATTTACAATGGCTTAGAATGTTTACACTAAACAACTATATTCAGAAAGGAATAGGAGATTGAGACACAATGTACACATGCTACATAACAGAGGAAAGCTCGTGCTATACCAGTGTAATCAGTGTAGACTGCTCGCTCTACTCAGTCGCTGCTTGACGCTTGAGCAATCACTGAACGACAACATTCATGTCTAATAGAAATACGGTGCTCTCAAGTATTAAAACCAGTTAACAATTCGTTAAACGACGCAACCAAGGATTCGTAGTTATACTAGCATGCAACATTAGCGATTTAAATGCAATTTCATCAAAAGTTAACACTTTTAGTTTTTTTATGTACAAAGAAATCACTGTCAAGAATTTGACATAGAACAGTAATAATAAAAAACTCGATCGAATCCGAATCAATTTCCTAATGATATTCGAGTAAATTATTCACAATACTAATAAAAATAATCACCTCGGGCCGCACACGAATCGTCCACAAGTCGATCGTCACCGTTTCGGAACTAACTCTACTTACCTACCCCTTCGACATAGAAACATGAGTAAAACGCTTAACCACAATGAACACTTGGATCCGCAGCGGAATGTGCAGCGACGTCGGCGGAGGGGGGCGGGGGCGCGGGGCGCGGGGGGCGCGCGCCCTACTACAAGCGGTCCAGGCGGAACCCGTGCTCCACGTCCGAGTCCGGCACCAGCGCCGTGGGGTCCTCCAGCAGACTGAGGTCGTCCAGGTCTAGCCCCGCGCGCAGCTGCGCCTCCTCGCCACCGAACATGCCCGCGTCCAGCTCGCCCGAGTAGTCTGTAAAAAGGGAATGAAAATGCTGAGCAAATGGGTAACTATCGACGTGTTTAATTTTTTCTCTAACAAACGCACAGTGAACACGTTGCAAACGCTCTTCGATTGGATAAATGCAATGTATATCATTAACAATATCCCAAAGCATCAACGTTTCCGGGGCCCCTTTCAGTAAGGGCTATAGTGCATAAAGGTAGCTGAGTAGCTGTACGTACCAGTGAGCACGATGTCGGGTATGCTGGCGGGCGTGGCGGGCGTGGGCGGCGCGGAGGGCGAGGCGAGCGGTTGCAGGCCGCCCGCCACCGGGTCGCGCGCGTTCCGTCGCCCGCACCCCATGCCCACGCCGCTACCGCTGCCGCAACTCGTCGCCGTCGACTGCAACATAATATACAGAGAATAACTATCAAATCTCAATAAACTCTTCCTATTTCAATTTTTATCCCTTTATTATACTTTGAAATGGGATTTATTCTGTCATGTTCTGACCTGGGGATATGATAATGACGAATTCGTCGTCTGTGGTGAGTGTGGTGACCCGTGGTTGAGATACGTCGTATTGTAACTCGATACAGGGTTGTCCAGCTGTCGACACAAATAAAACATTATTACAATAATATCCTACAGACATCGTTACGAATGGCAAGCGAGAGAAAACAACGAGAAAACGCAGCAAAATTCTGAAAATAAAATAAACACATGACGTCACTACCGCAATATCCGTTCCATGGTTACGTTAAGTACAATGTCTAATGAAGTTGTAAAAGGAAGCGATACAGCCACTGAACAACATTTCAAAATAAAACACTGACTGTATTACAAATAAGGTCGGTCAAAATAAGAACTATTTAAATTATAAGTATGTACTTACTAATTGATCACAAGCATAATGGTGTTTATGGCTTATGGATACAAGCAAAACAAAGTAATTATTCAGAAATGAGAGAGTAATATGGAACTCTTTATAGCATATACATTATACACATTATGCTTATGAATGTATCTGGCACGACTAGAGTGCGGTAATCATGCTCATGTCAATACATAATGATTGATACCTTCTTGATTACAAAATGTCATTACCATACCGAAACAACTTTAACTAAGGCTATGGAAATTAAAATACCATTAATCGACTAGAATCTTTCTTACAATAAATAACTACTGTTTACTTGCAAAATCAAGTTGTAGAGCATGCCTAAATTTTCCAATGTTACTTTTTATAAAAAAAATAATATGCAAAATAAAAGTATTTCGTCCCAATAGTACTATACATAAACATGTAAAATATAGTAATTTGACGTTATCTGAGATTATTTTTGCAACTGTTTTAACGTTAATTACGGAATAGTACTATTTGAGACTTTAATTAAAGGAAATGAACAAGTTCTCAACCAATTTCAATTTATAATTAACTAACTAAGCTAAATAAAGTATATTTAGCTTAATACAACAAATATACTTTCATATTACGAAAACGTGTACATTTCCTCTAATGAAGGAGATCGCGATATTAAAATGAAACGTGAATAGAGCTCCAGCTTATTTTAAAGGCTAAACTCGTATAAAGGTACGTGCGCTAATAATATAATCTGTGGGAATAAGTGTTACGACACTTAGAAATAACTCAATATTGAATTTAGTGAGGGGCGCACAATTTCATTTCAGCACTATTCATTTTAAATTGTATTTACGTATGATTAACAAAAAAATGTGATTAATATTAATTAATTTTATAATATGCGCGTTAAAATCGCGCACCCATCACGTAAGAACGTCACTATGAATGCGTGAGGGGGTAGTGTCGTACATTTTCCGCCACTTGGACGTGCGCGGTCCAGCCTGACTCCACGAGGCTCTGCACCAGCTGCGCCCAATCCTTGGCCAACATCCACCAATATTACACATATTACACACTAGCACACTTATTTAGTTACAGTCTGTCAAATATTTTATTCAAAATATTATGTAGTACTCAAGTACTACTTTTATTAATCGATTTTTATTTAAGTATATACTACCAAGGTTACGACTTTTGAATGGCATTTACAAAATATATATTTTAGATTTACCTATCACTATTTCTTTTCTATTATGCAGTTATTAATTTAGCTATATTGCGGACTTTTATTAATTGATGACACTTAGATGATATATTTAATTAATTACTGTCAGTTTATCATTTAAAACAATCTTAATCTTTCTGAATTTTACAATTTGGTATTAAATACTGCAAATCATCAAGCATGCATTTTTGGTGCTGTTTGGTTCTTCAAACTTCAACGTAATTACGCCGTACTTTGTATGTCGGTGTAAATAATTACAACTAGGCATGAAACATAACAAGGGTTGTTGTTTATGGTAACACTGAGAAAAACAGTAAATAATTAGTTCTTCGTGTAGGTAAATTAATTGGATTTCTAGATTAGATAGAGTATGAAAAAAATACTTTTTACTTGCGCACATTTGATAAGTATGCGGTAACTTAGATAACATTGTCTTTTAGATTAATAATAACGATGACATTATTATATTAATACTATAATACACACGCCCAGTTTTTGCCGTTTTCGAAATCATCAAGATTTTGACTCCCACTATTATTTTATGAAGCAAACAGGTTTCTTTTTTTGAACTATGTAGACCACTTTTTGAATAATTCTCAACTGATGTAGACTTAAAGTTTTTTGTTTTGCGTTTAGTATCCACACGAAACATTAATTTATGAAGTTAGCATAACGGCGTAAATAAAACCTGTCATATCTCTTCATCGGCCGCATTCTGCAGACCACAAAGATTTCTGCTATATGTATAAGAAATGTTTTAAACTAACATTAGCAGACAACAAAAACATTTTTTATAATGCGAATTCTAGTCTTTGGAATGCAGATAAACCTGTTGTGGCGTTGTAATAAACAGTTTACTAACATGTAGACTGTACAGCCTAGACATAGACCAGTCTGAAGTCATGACTGCTTTAGGAGCGCATGCGTAGCTAGAATACTGATGATTATAATACATAATGTATTTGACAGACAGTAACTTCACCGTTGCTATTGTTATCACAGCATCAGGCTCAATACATGACACTAGTTTCGCTGCGTAGTAGATCTTCACTCGAAACTAGAGTCACACACCTGTTTGTATATTTATATTCACTTTATAAATATCGCATTAAGTACATCTTCTATGTGCTGGCTTTAATTTAATGACTGATGATGTGCAGCTTTATATTAGTGTGCGTTTAAATACTTTATTCCTTTCCAATGTGCCAAAATTATTCTAGTCTCAATTAACCTTTGTTGTATCATTTTTAGCTACATCTCAGATGATAATATAATATATACCAGTGTGTTTAACATAACATTTCAATTGCATATTTTTTATTTACTTACAATTCCTTGCTGTTCCATTGAAGCATAAGTATAAATAAATTGATATTATTGTTATTTAAAAAGTTACGTCACATACGTAACAAGAGCGAGTAACAAACAAGTTTTACTATCGAGCAGTTTTATTTAAAATACTTTGTATTTACTTAATTTATATTTAACGTTGTAAAAAATGCGAATGACGCAAATGCTACTTATGTTTGATTAATAGAATTTTGATATATTTGTTTTTATTTTCGTCTACATAACATGTGTATGTCTACTAACTGCATAGCATGTTTTTTACTAAACTTTTATTTATAACTTGTTATTAATGTATAATGGCTGTCTTTGTTAGTATCCAGTCGTCTTTGATGTATTGTATATTGTTAGAATTTGTGAATAAATGCATGACACGATATGTGCACCTCTGCTAACCACTTCGGGGTAAAACAGGGGTGATGTTATGTTGATGAAAATTTAAAATACACATTACGATTACTAATCCCTTCCATGATAACATTAGGGTAGAAGTTTTTCTTACTAATGACATTACGGTCAAGGTCAGCCGATTATGGTACCGCAAGTCACGCGTGTAATTAAATAGAATTATTAGTAGCCAGCGTTAAATGATTGACTTATTCATAACTGTTCAACTATGACCTTGAATATTAATATTTAATACGTCATGTACGGAAACGAGTTTCATATAAGAACGTGTGTTTCACTCACCATTGTGATTTGCTCGAAAGGTTGTAACAACGCTTGATGTAGGTTGTTGTAATCTGTTTGTGGGGATTCCACAGGACTACCTGGACTGTGCACCATCTGGAATATTCGACAACTTATGTCAGTAAGATGGGATCGAAAGGAAACCTTTAAGAAGTGTCTTAAAGTCCATTATCAAATAAATCGGTAAAACATACGCAAATTCAGATTTCGAAGATAACATCAGAGATAATACGTCTTACACAACATCTTTTGTTCAGTAATAAACAAAGAAAAACATTGTATTTCTAATATTTTGAACTGATTTATCAAGTAAATACGTGTGTACTGTACCGTTGGTGAAGGTATGTTTATGTTCGACGTGGAGGAATATTGTGAGGGCGGACTACAGTGCGTCTGGTATCCGGACGGTATCCAGCCGTGGTCCAGAGGCGACATGTTCTGTAACCAGCCGAAACATGAACTTTACTCAACTAAAACACATTTTAAAAAAGTTCTCATTCAAAAACAGTGTGATTCGCATTAAAAATTAGTAAAATACTGGCTGTTTAGGTTTAAATTAGAGCATTGGCAGATTGGTACACGTCATTTTATTTATTCGAATACGGAATAAATAATAAATAAAATTATTGTAATGTGATGCAAATTTCATTCATTATGCATGAATTTAATGGAAAAATATGGTATATTTCCATTTAACTTTCATTATAAGATGATAAATGAGATTAAACTCGCGCGGTTTTAGATTAGTAAGTGGTTATGAAAGTTGTGGTAAATCGAAAGAAGTTGCACGCACGATATTTTTTTCCATATGAACACCAAACACTGCCAATGCTTTGCTTAATTAGCTGTAGAATGATTCATTGCATTGTATCACACTGTTTTTAGCCAGAAGCCAATTTGTACATGCAGTTAGGACCGAATTAATTATGTAGAAGCTAGTATAAGATTAAATATGAAGTAAACCATTATGTAGATCGTCAAAATGGCAACAAAACAATCTTACAGCTGTATGTGGTCGATTCTTTAAACAAACAGCGAACGTAAGCAATAAATCAATCCCATTAATCATTGAGTTTAATGCTTTAAAGAAAGGACCACATTCTCATCAATATAAATTAGAAAAATATAATTATAAACACTGAGAACTGCTGTAAAATATATACAAGTAGTCATGCCAATTGGTAATATAATTTAAATTTTGAATCAGCAAGTTTACGTAAAATATTATAATATACTTAGCTTGTGTCATATACTACAGTTTTAATCGTTAGTAATAAACCAATGTTAGTTATAGCATGTTATAATCAATTAATTTTGATGTATTTAGTCATAACTGTCATAGAGATATTAATAGATGGTATAGAAATATTTATCACATGCTCTTGTACTACTTCAAAGTTAGATTAACACTAGTAGTTGAAGAAAATATATGAAATTAGGGTCGTCACTCATTGGAATTTGATACAGCAATACAATATAGCATCCTTATATACGAAATGAACGTCATCGAGTCTACAGCTGGCATTCCACGTGTTAGTCCCCAACAATACTCTTGTATACCTATGACCTCATATTAGCTAATATACCAATGAGACGAGTGACGACCTTTATTTGTATAAATATTTATTTATGATTAACTATTCCGCTATTCGTTTTTTGTAACGCCAACAGCGTGGCCGTGTCGTAATTGTCCATTGTATAATCAACTTTTGAAACCGTTTAAATAAACAAGGCAGTTAAAATTTGTTAGTCGTCCTATAAATACAAATGTATAAATAAAATATAGGTGCGTTTGAAATATATAATGATAAAAGGAAACGAAGGAAATCGGTGTCGTTTAGTGCGGAGGTGCCGAAATAAGCAATATATTGCTTCGAAAATGTATTAGTGTACGATTACATTTTTAGCTGAACACAATTTATAACGATCCATGCACGAAGCACCCATGTGATGTATGAACAAGACGAAATATAGAATGAATGTCAAAGACATAGATAAAATATAGGATATTAGCGAGACCCAGCTCTGTTATAGATAATCAAAAATATTGGCACCAACAATAGACAGCGTATCAAAGCATTCAAGCGACCGCCGGTAAAGAATGAGCGGGAGTAAAATTTAAGAGGAGGTTAAAAAAGAAAACGAACCTTATTATGATGAAGATAATTATTTGTGTTTGGTACAGATAAGTGATTCTGAAATAAACAAAAAATGATTTGTGTAGAAAGCAAATAAACACAAACATAACAAAAACAACAAAAATGTTAAAAGTTCCTAAGAGAGTGCTCACTGGTGTCCGTGAGGCACATGTTAATGTTCTCCAAGCCAGAGTTAGAGCCACTGTACACGCTACTACCGGCGCTAGCTCCCAGTAGCACAGACCTACATTACATCGCGGCTATCATTCCGGTAGCGTAGCTACACGCCATTTTTGATAAACAATACTCGTTACTTAGATTGATTCATAAATTCTTGCATAGTAATGTCCCGACAACCGCGACTGCAATACTTTTTTAATAGCAGACAGATTTGGTTTGTAATGTAAATTGATTATTGTGTGATTTTCGCGGCGTTGATTATGATTCACATGGACCGAAGTAACAATATTGAAGAAGTTAATACACGGTAGCAAACTGAACGCTTATAACAGTCTCACTAAGATATGACAGTACAAAACTGTTCGCGGGATAGCGTAACTATAAATAACACCTATTATTTAAATCCCATATAAAGGTTTTTGGGTAAGTTGATATGCAACAACAGGTTTGTATAGCAAAATCGAGCAACTAGATGTATTCAGTGAATCGAGTAGTGTAGCGGTGCGGGTGCGGCGACCGACCTGCGCGTCGTAGAGCGGCGCCACGTGGTCCAGCGCGTGCTGCTGCGCCAGCGGCACCGTGGCGCCCACCGGCGACCCCGACGCGGGGGACAGCCCGCCCGTCGCCGGCGACACGCTGCCGCCGCCCGGCGACACCGCGCCCGGCGACGTCGGCGACTGTAACCACCACACTCATGCACTACCGACATCTGTCTACCGCGCACTACGGGTTCCTACCCTAACGTCGTTGCCGATTCCCAGCCGCCACGAGTTCGATCGGAGACTATAATACTACTCATGCGATTAATTGATTAAAATTTTTGCTTAGTTACACGTGTTTACGCCGGCGCAAATGAGAGCTACTATCACTTTTACTAAACCTATTATTAGTATCACGCGAGTGCGGCGTGCGAAACACGTGAGATGCAGTCGAGGGCCTTATCGCCGCGCTCGACGGACCAAGACGGATCGGCGATCAGTAAAGTATTATTGCAACACAGATAGAGGACAGAATCCCTCGCAGACGAGACACAAACACGGCGAGATGATGATGGGCGGCGGAGTAGTACCGAAGGGCCTGTCTTACTTGCGGCGGATAGTGGTAGTGACGTACATAGCGCGGCTGGTAGTCGTCGGCGCGCGGCGTGTGCGGCGCGTGCTGCGGCGGCGCGGCGTAGTGCGGCGGCGGGAAGTGCACCGACGTCAGGTCCGGCAGCGAGCCGCCCGGCACCGCCAGCTCGCAGCCCAGCGCGCCGCCCAGCCCGCCGCCGCCCTCCCCGCCCGCGTACACGCTGTCGAAACAGTCATACGTGCTAAACAGAAAACGAACATTAGTCCAACACGTTCCATCACACAACAGCATTATTTCATTACCACCACCACACGAATACCCAAATACTCATCATGATAAATTGCATAGTCCGTCGGAATCCAAATTAAAGAAATATAATAATTATTTACATCAATGTGATTTATAAGAAATGATATAATACCTAACGTAATGCATCACAACTTGGCTTTTCTAAATCATTCAAGTTTCTGAGCTTAGGGATAAAATAATTTTTTCCTCCTTCAATTAACCAGTTGAAATATAGATACTCACTTGTTATTGTTAGGTATTCTGGGGATTTCACATGACGATCTCGGCCGGTTTGCGGGATTCATTGCCGATAGAACATCTAAATGTATGTCACCTGCAAGAAACATAAGTAAACATACAAATAAATAAAGCGAGTTATAGATAGGACTTTTGCATAAACCATAAAACATATACATTTGTAACTCGTGAATAGCTTGTCAACTTTAAAAATGTCGTTTTGTCTCAGAAGGGGGAATTCCCACAAGATTACACTGACTTAAGTACCTGTCATAAAAACCATACCCAAAATTTTGGAATGCACACAAACATTAGGTTATGTATAAAATGATTTCGTCGGTCACCTCTCCGATGGTTCTGGTGCGGGTGTAGATGTGGGTGTGCATGTGAGTGCATGGTCCGGTGCGGGGACAGCGGCTGCACCGCCGCCTGCTGCTCGCCGCACGACTGGTGCAGCGCGGAGTCCGAGTGCGTGCGGCGCCAGTTACTGTCCGGCGGAGGACTGCAACCATACACAACTATATAGCTTTACATGTAATTATAATCCTATATAGATGTGAAATTTTGGATGGACGATGTTATGCTCTTTGCTGCAGAAGCTACTCAATAAGTTATAGTATAGTTCTAAATTAAATTCGGCATAGGGAATGTAGAATACTACATAGCATGCTTTTTACCTTGATATCGCAGGTAAACCTGTTGTACAAAGCTAGCGATTTCTATAAAGTTTTCGACTGATTTCGATGTTTATGGACATATAATAATAGGTGTTTGGATGCTCTATCATAAACAGGAATTTCTCATTTGAATAAATGTATAAGATTATATTGTTAGTATTGTGACATTTGGATATTTAATCAAAAACAAGACTGTCTTTGTCGGTTATAATAGAGAATATCAAAGGTACGCGTGTACTAATAGCCCAGTAATACGTCCATATAGATACTACTACTACGTCGATATTTGGTAATTACAGGGTTTGGTCTTGGGATCTGTGTATTATTATACTTTTCCGTATACAACAAAACTATAATAACCACGTATATTTTTCATATAAGTGTTTACAAACCAGCGTAACAAGTTCCTCACACAGACGTTGAATATTACGCATTTTAATTGAATTGTAATTTCCAGAAGTGACGTAATATTTTAAACATTGCCAAGACATCGACTTGAATTCACAGATATAAGCAGGAAAACAGTTGCAAACTCTGATTAATAAACAATCGATACTTAGTCATACGATATTTTTTACTTTTGGTTTTTGATTCTTGTACCTATGTATTGTAACTATTAATCATGTAATTTCCAAAATATAACTTTGTCGTGGCATACCTACATGGACTATGGACAAATATCCTTACAAATCAAGACTATGTTAATAGTGGTAGACGGAATAAATTACGTTCATACGAGTTCTATAGTTTATATAATTCGCAGACGATGGAGCGTCTCATAGAAAGGCAAACTTAACTAGTTTTATAAATTTTTTTCGATATAATATTCACAGAACTGTAGAAATTTCCTTTAGCTACATAATTGGGTATGTCCGCGTGTTTTATAGTAGCGTTGTTTCCTGATCTATGTTGATAACTTCTATTAACCAATTATTTATTATTATTATACATGAATGAGGTTTCGTGGAACAAACTTGAATTAACATGACATGTACTTAAATGAATCACATTTACCTCGTGAAGTTGGTAATTAATAATAATTATCAACACGTTCGTATAGTTTAAATTGGAATAAATTGTACGTCGGCGTCGGCTGGCTTCTTGCGCCTCATATTTTAGATAATAATTCAGCATAACTGCCGTGATTAAGAAGTGACGTAAGTATATAGTAGCGACTGATTTAATTGTTGTAACCTCCAAGGATAAAGTGCAGGATTGTTCCTTTGTTATATCTAAAATATTTGCGTATATTTTTGTTTTTATCGCCTAATGTTACTAACAAAAAGAAAACTATAGTAAGTACCCATTTAGTGTATGCCGTACCGTACCTAACGGGTTTTACACTTGTTTTCTTTTTTGTACATGAAATACCTACGTCACTACTGTTACGAGGTAGGTTTATAATAAAGACGTGATGTCAATCTCTGTAAACTTCATCCGAAGGATTTTATATAGAATGCCGTTTTACGGTTGGTACTTCGTTTAAAGTTGGCGTGAAAACTTCCTGCTAAGTTGAGTGGTCAATTAACTTGATAAGTAGGTACGTATTGACGAGACCACCGTCGTTCGTCATCTGGTTTTCTCAATGCAGAACAGGTTTACCTCAAGTATACAGTGCTCCCATAAGGGCTGGTATCGTGTTTTCTGTCTGCTGGGCGACGCATCGGGCCCACCGAGGAGGAGGCGCGGCCCCGCTGCCCCGCCGGCGAGCGCGACGGCGACGTGCCGCCGCTGCGGCCACCGGCCATAGCATACTGGTTTGATAGCGGTAATTCCTCCGGCTAGGACAAATAGACAACAAAATGTTACTAAGAGAAACTTAACCAGGAATGGTTATGGCTGGCTTTTCCCGCCCAACTAAGGTCGCGTGTGACTCGTGTAAGACACCGGTTCGGCTTGTTTGGCGGGAAATACCAGCGACATGACGTTGTCCTTTATAAATTGCTTTTCCCTATACACATATTTTTGAGAAATAATATCCAATTGAATGTGTGTAATAAATATGCAAAGATATGTATAACCTACCACTATTAAAGTATTAATCATTCAACAATTTACTCATACACTTATTATGCACAATACTATAGTAAACAGCATTTAGCACATTAACTGTATCTACCGTCTGATGGGTATAGCATGGCAAATAAATACATTGTTCACTACTTCTAAGTGCAGGGTTTATTAAAATTAAATAAATCAACTAACTATTCACTAATTTAGGTAGATGGACATTTTTTACAAGGATGCAACATGCCATTTTACTAGTCACTAGTTTTCTAACATCTTATTTATATTTTCTGCAAAATAATCTAAATCTAGGAACAAAATTTTTACTTCTAGAGCAGACAAAGGAAAAAGGCAATAAAATAATCTTTGCTTTTGGATGATAAAAAAATGTAGGACATTGTAATAAAATATAACATTCATAGTTAAACCTGTTTATAGTATTCTAGTGAACAGATGACGGAGTTAAGTTTTGTGAACAAGAAAACTTATTAGAACACATGTTATAATGTAAATATGAGTTCAACACAGTTTTCTGTTAACAAGAGTTACTCTACACACTTTGTTTATTATTACAGGCATTTGATTATATTTATCAATATTCAAGTGAGTTTTTACAAGGTGATAAAGCAATTAGCACTCATTTACTTCATGAGATTGTTTCATTTGTTCATTGACTTTCAACATTTGTTAATTCTTTTTTTTATATGCCAAAAATAAAAATTGCTTAAAATCTATAAGAAATTAAACGCAACTTTAAGAAAAAGAATACAAAATCATTTCAGCCAGCTACAACTGCACCACTACCGAACAAAAGAAGGTATAGCAAATTCTACCATAAATTACAGAGGCCATCAAGACCTAGCAGGTAATTATCAGTTATCAATATATGACTTAAAACAAAGAAGAATGTAATTTTTTTTGCTATAAAATAAAAAGAATATGTGTTTGGAATGTTCTAACAGTGTAACTACCTGCAAAGTCAGAAAATGGTAGATTTACGCTATTAGGGATTTTAATGGTCAGATTCCAAAACAAAGGAACCTTAATTGTTTCCAGCTCATTGGCGGTAGCTTGTGGTGCAGCCACATTTGGCAGGGAGCCACTGCGGTATGTGCCCAAGCCCTGCTGAGTGGGCCGGAGTGACGACTCAACATTATCACTAGGCTCGGGGGGCGGTTTGACTCTGGCTACTTTACTTGAATTAACCTGCAATCATGATGCCTGAAGATTTCTTTACTGTACTCTAATAGTTGACCACATTTTTATAAATGAAAACATCCTACAACTTTCACACAGTCAATTTATGTTGTGATTTCCACTATAAATAATCAACTCTTTGATTATAACAAAACATTGTTAGTCACAATATGTCTGTATCTAGATATATTAAATTATTTCACTGGCAAGCAACTATTGTTATCAGTTATGATTAAGAAATCAGACTTCACATTTCCTTAGTTTCATTAGGAGATGAAACACTCATAATATTCTAACTAGCTATTGTGTAGGATACCAAATAGACTTACAATTCATTTTGACAATGACAATTGTAACTATACACACAGAACTGAGTGGTATTTTGCTATTGACATAAATAAAAAAATGTGTTCACTTTGTTGTTTAGGCGCAATAACTATTTTGTAATGGATTATTGTTTACGTCGGCGGGCACATTTGACGGCCAGGAAGCGACTGCCTGAGTAAATAGGCGACATACCCTTTGGGTTGCGTCGGAAACTTCGCGCATAATCTGTTCAAAAGCAGCTGTTTCCTCTGCCTGTTTTTGATGATGGAGGGCAATTTTCTCACTAAATTTCCGTGGATTCGCCATGATGGCCAGTAAACATTTATTTTTCTCGTTTTTACATCACAATTTTTAGCGTTCAAAGATCCAAAACGCGCTTGACTGTCAGCCACAGATTTGTGTTGCCATTTTATAAAAATATAGTCATGTCCATAACTTTTAGTAACTTAGTCGAATATGTGTGAAAAACTTAAATTACTAAAATAATTTCATAAAAGAACACGTCCATACGAAACTTTTATTTTTTAAATGTTGTGTTAACTATTGCCTAAAATATTGCTCAGCAAGTATTTCCACAGCTTTACAGCTTTTGAAAATAATTATGCTTAAAACCCAAATCCAATAGTACGATGAGGAAATTCACAAAGAATAATACGAACAGTAAAAGTTTAGGTTTAGACTAGAAGTATAACAAGTTTTATATTAAAATAGTCTTTAAGTGTCTCATCTCAGATACTCTTTTTATTTCATTTGGTTACAATAATTAATAAAAGATAAACAGATGTTGATTGTCCTCTGCTAATAGTGCGTGAAACCGATCGTTAGAATTTTGATTGACATTGACAAGACAAATTAGTATTGACATTGACATTTGTTGACCGACTTTGTAAAGTCACTTCGATTGTATTGTATTTTTTCAAATAGAAATGAGTGCGGACGAATACAATACGGTTGCGATATTATTAATTTAATTTTCTTATTGAATTACTCGTGGAAGTTTAAGTGTTTTAAAAACCATGGAAGAAAAATATATTTTAACTTTAGACATAGGCACTAGCACTATTCGCTCTTTTATTTATAATACTAGAGCTGAAATAGTGGGAAGAGCGGTTGATCAGGTACAAATTAATAAAGAAAATCTTTTAATCGAGTAACTGATAACAAATATAGATTTTTAATATTAAAAAAAAAAATAGTTTATGTTGAACATAATATTTATAAATATTTTTAAAGTCTTTTAAAATTGGTAGTGCACCAAGTGATATTCTTTTATTTTTTTATTAGGTGGTATTGCATTATCCGCACCCTGGTTTCGTTGAAATAGATCCAGATGAACTGTGGGCCTCAATAGTTGGTGTAGTAAATATATCATTGAAGGGTGAGTAATTTTAAAGTGCATTACTTTTCATAATATTTTTATTTAGGTAGGTACAATATATCTTCTCTTACAAACTGCAAGTTACTTTAATTTGTAAGTAATTTGAACTGCTTACTACGGTATAATGTGATCATGCGTCCCAGTTTGATGTAATATATTTATTTACTTCTAAGCATTTATATGAATAGTTCTGTTGTACCACTTCCTAAATACAACACATATGATAAGATATCTTATCACTTAATGCATAGTAATGAGAACAACCAAGTCTTATCCAATAGCTGTTGTTTACAATTAAAATGGTATCATAATTATGATAACTCACTCATTATTATAGAAGTAAAATTATCAATGAATATTTTGGAACAAAATCTTTATTTTTACTATTGTAAATTACTGATAAAGGGCCAAATTCCAATTGTATATGTCATCTATTAGGTTTTAGAGAGAAGATTTACTAATGTTTTTATTTATAATTGAATTTGTAACAAATTTATCCCAGATCTTTAGCCTCTATTTGTATCACATCAATAAACAATTATTTTTAAAGATAGTAAGGTTCAATGAATATGGAAATCAACTATGTGTATTTTATCAGTATCCCAAAAGCAGCTATGAAAATAGATGATCCCTATGCCATATGAGCTACAAAAATTGATGAGATTATGATAAATTAATGTATGAATATCATATCCTACACATTCGTAGCAGTTCTGTTTTATGACAATCATAGATATCAATTTCTTTTTCACTCTGCAACTGCTCAGTTGAGAAATCCATGGTCAATAAGTATAGATCAAGTAAGTCTATTTTTTTAAATGTAGAATATTGTCCACAGATGCCCAATTAACAGCTGGTCAGATGACGGCTATGGGTATCACCACCCAAAGAGGTACATTTATAAACTGGTCTCGGAAAACTGGCAAACCATTCCACAAGTTTATTACATGGAAAGATTTAAGAGCTGACAAATTGGTTAAACAGTGGAATGCTTCATATGTATGGAAGGTAAATTATATTTTAGAGATTTTTCTAATATTTGAGGACTTGGTTTCTAGAAGCTTGATCAGTGCAGATCTTTCCAAAAGTGAATTATTTATTTCTTAGTAAAAAACAATATTATAATTGCCCATTACCAGCTTTTCCCTTTTGTGTGACAGTTTAAAGTTTAACTCGTCGAGTACCGGTTTTATAGACACAATTAAAGAACAATAGGTCGCGGTCACCGGTGACCGCTTGGTGTTTGACAGTTTAATATGTATAATTGGTGAATATTTCTGCAGTTTTATCTTAAAATAGTATTGAAGCGAAAGTTTATCTCTCTTTAGGCAGATATTGAAACTTTGTGCTACTAAAACGAAATTACGAAATCAATGTAGCAGAGCATTCGAAATTAAGTCTACATTTAAATATTAAGTGGATTGACCAGCCTATCAAAAATAAGCTAATGATTACACAGTTAATATTATTTGTATTTCTAAAAAAAAATTCGTTTTTAGCTATTCAAAGCAAGTGCCTACGTATTGTACCTTATTCTAAGAAGCAAAAGGTTCAAAGCAGGAAGTGTGTTCAAATTTATGAATACCCAGGTGAGTTTATTTTTTTTAAATCGTTAATCTGATGTCCAGTTTCCTTATTCAGCCTATACTATACTCAGTATTAATAGGAAATATTAGCAATAAACCTGTTTGTTATCATTTCCTAATTCAAACTCATTGGTATGCTAATTTATGTGATTATTATTCAAGAGGAAGATTATAGTAGACTTCTGAATAAAAATATTGGCTGAAATGATGTATTAGGAAGTGCAAAAAGTTATATTTAACAAAAAACAATGATCGATTTAATTTTTATTCGACCTTTTAGCTTTACGCGGAACATTTTACAACCGCGATCGTGACGAATTGCTTAAAGTAATAATTTTGTCTTTATTTTGATAAATAGTTACCTGACGTGGAGTATTCGGACAAAAAAATCTGCTTTGTTTTTATACAGAGTTTAAAGTTTATTTGAATTATGTAAAAACTTAATTAACTCTTGTTGATTACTTACTGGCTCGTGGGCCTTGGAGTCGAAAGCTCAACTGTAGATCCTCTCTCCGGGATTGGATATCTGGGTGGTGCAAAGAACGATACGATTACTATCGTTGATATTATTAAAACTCTCCCTAATAGAACGGAGTCTGGAATTGTGCCCAGTGTATGGCATTTACATGGCCCTATTACATACATCTTATAATATTGCTAGCGAAAAGTGGGTTAAATTTGAATATACCCACCTGCCTACTAATTCGAAATTATAAGACGCGGTGTTACGTTATGTTTATCACTTACCCACCTGCGCAAGCGCAATGACGCATTGTTTATGATTTAATCGCTCATAACTGCTCGATCAACCATAATAAATATAGTATCGTTACGATTGGGCAGTTTAGAAAAATAAAACAAAGATTTCATCTTGTTATTACCATTTAAGTACTTTTATGGACAAAGTCAATTAAGAGGATTTCCTTGTAAGCCCTCTAGAAGCTCGGGTTAATTTTTGAGTCGAACAAGATTATTTAATAAATAGTACATTGAGTAGTTTGTTCCCAAGCAACACCTAATTTCGTCCCCCCTACCAAAGGTCGCCAACGTGCTTGTAACACCACTGGTGTTCATGAGCAACCCTGGCTACTTACCATCAAGCGATCTGTTTGCACGTTTACCCCAATAACATTCTATGTTTTAATTACTTGACCAATTACCGTAAGTTTGCTCCTTTGCCTTTCTATCTCATAACCCTCGATGTAGGTAGTAATAAACATTGCAAATAAAATATCATAAAATCAGTTGGGACGTAGGTACACCGACAAGAATCTAGATACACCGAACGTCCTGGCTGTCGTCGAGTACAGTTCTAAATATAGACGCATTCTTGTCCGAAGCGTGGTGATACATTGTTGAAGATTGTTGATACCTTTTTCTTTATTTACACTGTAAGTAAGTTATATTTATAGACCGTATTGATTTGGTGGTGAACAATGCAGACGAAATACAATCGATCAAAAAGTAATCGCGGTTTGGCTAATATTATTTTTTTCATTAACATACCCATGCATGCATAACGTCACCCCTTTTAATCTCCTATAAGGCCTAAGGTGCTCCCAGAGTTGCACATATACAATGCAACATCCACTTTTCAACAGTTTTGTTATGAGTCGCGCAAGCAGCGAGTGTATTGCCATACACCGAGCATATTCGAAATATCTATTAACTACTGAAAAAATTTGAAGAACTGCATAATGTCCAATGATAGGTGCTTCGCCTGATTCCGGTATCATCGATACTGGAATATCGATATTCGATACCGTATCGAACCCGAATCCTTGACTCCTGGCTAGGCAGTTGCACTTCCGACCGCCGTACCACTAAGCAGTAATTTCTACATCAACTATTGATGACAGTTTATAATAATTTCGGTTCCATATTTAGTAAGGACAAGATTCAATTTTGTAGCGATTTTGTATGCCTGAATGTTCAAAATTATTTGGCGTTAAGTGACAAGACGTACTAAATCAAATTTGTTTATTAATAAAGGTAGTGTACTGAGAACCGATGGTGCATTGCATCTTAGAGGCATCGGCATTTAGAGCGCCGGCGTCCGCGTACGCCCACGGCACTCAAACTCGCAATGCAAAGGTCAAAGATCGTAGATACAGTACATTTGACTTCAATTTCGTGGTATAATAGTCAACCAGTAGTATATACGGCTTATTTAATCATGCTTCTATTCTTATTTACGTAGGTACTTTAAATTCTATTCAGTCAATGTCAGAAGTCAAGGTACCGAGTACTTATACGAAGTCTTTGTTATATTTACGTAGAATGTATATGCATGTGCATACATACCTACCTACATCACAAAATGCATGCATAATGCGACCGTATATCTTTGTTGGCTTTTTTTAAGGGGGGAAGATGATCGAATGCCTTCTTCCGCCTGGTTGAGGCGGGAGGGAGTGTCAGACTCTTAATAACTAAAAACCCCCGTTCCTACTCCTGCACTTCGAGCCGGAGCCCCGGTAACCCGTTAGGTTCTCTGTTGGCTTATCCTTCTTTTTACCTCCAAATGATTGATATTTACATGTGATTTTGCGTCTGGCATGTCGAAATTATTTTATGCGTTTGCCAAAAATGGTGTTGAGGAAATTGTGCCTTTATTTAATTTCAACTTTTATAAGTGAGGATCTCTGCACAAAGGAATAAGTTTTTTGGTAATTATTTAAACTTGTTTAATCTTCCACTTCCTCGTGTCGTATTCCTTAACACATTAAACGCCATGGGGGTCACCGACATTAGCGAAGGATTTGCCTTCAACAGTTTGCTATTGGCAGTCAAAGTAGTTTTCTACTGACACTAACACAACGTTAAAATATATTTTTTCTTTTGTGCCTTGGAAAGAACGTAAAGCCTCGGTCCAGGTTTATTTCATGATCGTGGATGTTGTCCAGAACTTCAGTTTATTCCATATAGAAGTATGATATTTTCCCAAGTTTCTTAGTCTAACCGTATTATCTATCATTCAAGGGAGTAAAAGAAGGCAGATAAATAATCAATGATCTTATATAAATCAAGTTTGGCTAATTAAAACTCATTTTTGACTGACACTAACTTTAGGAAAGGGTACCTAAATACCTATAGCCGTATTCTTAAAGCAATTTGTTTTCTAGACATGTTTAAGATTAAACTGGGCGTTCCACAACATAGCTGCCTTCAAGACTGCCGTGCAAGAAGACGACGCTCTCTTCGGAACCTTGGACACATGGCTATTATACAAATTGACAGGTAATTACATAGCATTCAAAAACATCATACTGATTTATACGCGATTTAATGGAAAAATAAAGAATAGAGTTTTTACTTCTTGTAGTGGTAATGTTTTTATGATTGTTCAAAAATTTTCTTTGCGATATTATTTTGATTGTCGCTGAATTATCTTCCTTTACTACTCAAAGTATTTACCGCGAGTAAAGGTAGTTTTGTATCCACTTATTATAGCAAAGATGAAATTGTACAATAATGTAACAATGTAACACGTATTTGAATGAACTTCATCATGATCAAGTCTCTCCTTTCTTAACTCATGCATTTAACAATATTTATCAAGCACTTTAATTATTGTCGCATAGCGTAAAAATATCGATTAATTTAAAACAGGTGGTAAGGTTCACATGACGGACGTGTCGTCAGCGTCGGCCACGGGTTTTTACGACCCATTCACCATGCAGTGGGCTGGCTGGGCCATGACCATGTTGAAGATACCCAGAGCAGCGCTGCCAGAGGTCGTTGATACCGCCGGGGACCACTTCACTAGTACCATACCATCTATATGGGGACATCCTATACGAATTGTCAGTTGTGTGAGTATATTTTGTTAGTAATTTCTCCTTTTATTGTTGGGTTGACTGACTGCCGCATTGTTCGCAAGAGGAGCTGAGGTGGGAATAGTATCGAGTTTTCGGAAATTTGCAGTAATAACATAAAATATGGAATTGTATTCAGCGCAAAGTGCACAGTAATTCAAAATCGAAGTCAAAAGTCAAAATCAAAATCATTTATTTCAATTATACCAGAAAGGCACTTTTGAACGTCAACAAAAAAATTAAAAGTGAAGCTATTTGCTCTTTCCAATGTGTAGATTTCTATGGAGGAGAACGAGCAAGAAACTCCATAGGTTAGGCTCCCCTTTTTCAATCAGGTTCACAATACAATTCTCTAGTTACATAGTTTTGTTGTTTGGATTGTGCGAGAATAATGTAACACTGAAATCAAAATGTAAAATAAAAAAATACAGTCTGGAGCTGACCAGTCACAGTTGACGGCGCCCGTTCACGATCATGACACGTAAACCAGCAACAACTCAGCCATATTGTAGGGAATCGAGTGGTTCACCAGTTATTCTTTCGAATTTTTGGAACAGTGTTTTCTGATTTTTAGTATTTTTTGTTAAATAGTCAAGAGTCTAGATTATTTGGCGTTAACGATTCATTTTTGGATTGTGCTAAAAGTATCATAATTAGATTTGAGTTCTAACATGTCTATGTAAATGCTTGTGGGTCTCACGCGATTGCAATAAGTACTGAATTACTAAATGATGACATAAATTGCATAATTAAGTTTCTAAACAGTAGGTAACTGAAAAAACATAAGGTGACATAAAGTTATATAAGATGAATTAACACATTTATTTATATTTCGATTCGCCATTTTTTGTCCTAATGTATTTATATTAATAGTCATTTTATCGCCTTGCAATATTCATGGTCAATGGCCAAGAAGGATATTGTATTGTTTAAACGGAAACTGTTAATGTGAATGGCGCAAATCAGTTTTTAATTTAATATTTACTTGGATCGTATTTAAACAATACGGGGAAAAGGACCTACTGTCAAGGTGAGAAGGTTCATTGTTAAATATTGGATATTTAAGGAGAATGATGCATAAATTAAACTTTAAGATTGTTCTTAGAATTTTAATATACCCAAAAATACGTAGTTTCTGTTTCCTATACATACAAGGAAGTAAAGTAATCGGAAATATTGTTCATAATAGGAAGAAAAAACCTTTATGTCAATATGATTTCTGTCTACATGGATAGATTTTAATTTTATAGAAGAACTAGCCGATGCTGGCGACTGTGTCTGCGTAGAATATGACATTTTTATAGAACATAACATTTTTTTTGTTACAATTTTCTTAAATCGGTCCAGCCAATCCAGAGGTTAGCCAGTACAAACAGAGACAAAAATTGAAAAATAATATTTTGGTATGTGTATCGTATGTATTGTTGTCGTCGTATAGTAAAAAGCAGTTAGATATTTTAATATTACAAACAGACACTTCAATTTTATTTATCTGTATAGATTTCTTTTTACTTATCCACATTTTCAGCTGCGGACTTTCGATTTTATATTATGCTCTGCTTATGGTAAATGACAAATACCCGAATACTGAAACGTTACTCAATTTTAAGTCACGCTTACGTATAGTTCTGTCACCACCAATTCTTTGTGAAATGACAGAGATGGCACGATATTTAAGCACAACTTAAAATTAAGTACCGTTTCAATATTCCGGCATAAATGTCTAAATGTAACAACCAATTTTCACTTGCCAGTTACAGTGTAAATTAGACCACTCAATATAATTTAAAAAGTATGTGGAATGACATACATAAATTGCAATAAGTATAGGTACACATTACAAACATGTTGTAACAAAAGTCGTGTTGCGTAAATTATGCAGTAGGTAGGCAAACGTTACGTGGAAGTATACAATGGTGATATTCTAACCGGTATTTATAAAACAGTCGTTGCAATTAACACGAATTACTGGAATATCCTATTGTCTTTTACTTTCTTACGATATTAGATCCCAATCCCAATTTAAAAATGTTCTGTTCCAACAATGGAGTAAAAAATGGACGACAATATTGATGTATCAGTACTAAAAATAAATTAATTGTTTCCACTTTGTTATCCTACGCAAAATGTTTTAAAATAATCACAATTGTTGATCAAAGTAATGAATTAAACATTTAATTATACTTACATTAATTGTGATTTATGTGAAACTAGCTTCTGCCCGCGACTTCGTACGCGTAATCACATTTTTTCCCGTCCCCGTTCGTGATTTTCGGTAAAAAGTAAAAAAAAGTATTGTTTTAAAAGTATCCTATGTCGGTCTCCTGGCTCTAAGCTACCTCCCTACCAATTTTCAGCCAAATCTATTCTGCCGTTCTTGGGTTATAAGTGGTGTAACTAATACGACTTTCGTTTATATATATAAAAATAGGTTAGTAAATATGCTAAGCTACCTAGTCCACCTTATAAACAGTTCAATGTAATTTTGAGAAGTGATAAGTTTTGACTAGATTTTAGTGAGACTAGATTGTTGAAGAACATTAATTATCTTTTTTACGGCATAAGCCGGCAAACGAGCAGACGTATCACCTGATGGTAAGCAATTGGCGTCGCCCATGGACACCTGGAACACTAGAGGCATTACAAGTGCGTTACCTGCCTTTTGGGGATTATTAGTTTGAGGATCGTTGGGGATTCAGGGATTGGAGAAGGGGAGGGGATAATTGGGCCTCCGATAACCTCACAAACACAACGCAAGCGTTGCTTCTCGTCAGTTTTCTGTGAGGCCGTAGTATCACTCCGGTCGAGCCGACCCATTCGTGCCAAAGCATGGCCTGCCTTCCCACACTTAAATCATCATCTCAAAAAAAATCATAAAGGTTTAAAGTAGGTACCTAACTAACTTTATTTATTTACTAACTTCTGTCTTCTGCTTATTTGTTATTCCAGACCATAATAATACATACAAACAAACAAACTTTCGCATTTATAATATTAGTATTTTATACAAATGGTCTTGATTCGGAGTCAGACACTACGTAAAGATAATTACTTTATTTAGTTTACATTCATTATTTCAATTATTTTTATTATGTTCCACACAATAAAACATTGAACCTGCATTTTGAAGGTCACCTTTACCCGCGTCATAAAACGAAATCGAATTTTGCTTGTAAATATTAACATGCAATTATTTTATTCTACTTTATAATATTGTAATTGTATTTTATTTACTTTTTGTTGTTACTAAAATAGCATAGCAAATGGTAGTTCGTTTTCTATTATCTACGCTACGTATATTGGTGGTAGAGCCGTAAGTCTTGCTGATAAACGTATTTATGTAGGTACTTATAACTTGAATCGGCCGGCTGGACCGGAGAAGTAACTGCTACCTCCTTCCAAGACACTAGCGGGACTTGAAGAAGTGACGTTATGATACCCAATTTTAATGCAATTACCAAATACCTTATACATTATGGTTGGCAACACTCATAAACGATGATGCATCTCATGTGTACTTAGGTTACGGTAACCGTTTACAATTAGGTGCACCATAAGCCAATAGTACTTATATACATACATACACATAAAATGTGAAGATCTGGAGAAAGATGGATTTTTACAAACCAAATTATCATTTTTTTTCAATAGGCGCATGGGTACAAGACCAGGGAGTGAAATCTTACCTCACTGCAAGTTACCTGATAACCACCATTCGCAACTAGGGTTATCTTAATATATTTTTTATGGGACAAGCCCGCCACATTCTCCCAAAACCCCTGCAACTCCTGTAAGCCAGAATCTACAGTAGAGACAACCATGAAAACACCGGAACACTGAAATCTGGCGCGTCCCAGGTACATGAATAAGTCTTGGTTCCCACAACGGATTGAATCAGAAGGGTTATCTTAATATACTAACCCTAGAATATGTATAGCTTCTGCCAATGGTATGGGCCTTACCGTGGAATAAAAAGTAGCCTATGTATTAATCTATGCCCGTTTCCAATATGTCCCGATCTAGCCGTTTTTGATGTGAAGGAGTACCAAACAAACAAACAGACAACTATCAACTTTCACATTTATAATATTAGTATGTGTTAGTATAAAAGTTTTTATTATTTTTCTTTCAGATGGCTGACCAAACAGCATCAATGTGGGGTTCATGTTGCTTCGAAGTCGGTGATGTGAAACTCACAATGGGTACTGGGACCTTCTTCAATATCAACACGGGTACGGAACCACACGCTAGCGTGTCCGGTCTGTATCCCATCGTAGGCTGGAGGCTTGGAGAGGAACTCATCTATTCTGCAGAAGGAGCGAACAATGACACCGCTTCTATCATCAAGTGGGCACAGAATTTAGGTAAGTGTCAATAATCATAATATTAGCACTTGATTTGTTTGAGTCAAATATGTTTATTACATTTTTAACTTTATTATTTTGGTGTAATGTCGAAAATCCAATGACCAAAATTGATTGAGAGTAAAATGACCTCCTTGCCATTGTACTACCACTCATTAGTCGTGTTGTTCTTAAAATCTAGAATTTGATCGCCCTTTGTGAAGACATATTAAGTCTTAATTCTCAAAATTCTGATATTCTATTCTGTTTCTATTCTAGGGTTGTTTGATAGTCCAGAAGACACAGCAGACATCGCCACCTCGGTGCTGGACACAGACGGAGTCTACTTCATACCGGCATTCAGCGGGCTAGGGGTAAATATCACCTATTTGTATTACCTTAAGAGTCATATTCATTTGACGGTATAGTACTTGCTTTATTAATTGTAATACAGTTGTTTTATAGCACGGATTCATTGAAATATAGTCTTTAATAACATATATCGCCGTTACTTCAAAGTTGTAAATTTTGTCAGTAATTTCGATTGTGAAAGTAAGTATTGTATCGCTTTCACATTACCGGCAATTCGTATGAATGTCACGAATTTATTGTGAGGAGTAAATACTCTCGTCACACCTAATGGAAAGTGGTTACTGCGTTAATACTCGCTACAATGTCAAGTCAATGTGTTTAATGAACAAGATGATATTATTATTGCATATTAAAACAATTAAGATTTATTTCATAAATGCAAGAAATATTATGAACTATAGATTTTTGATCCACTTCCACCCTTTGTATGAAACGTTTCAAACATAAAAAATATTGACATTAACATTTCTAAAGTCAATGTCAAGACTTCAACGAAAAACCTATTTATTAATAACAATACACCTTTTAATTGTTATAAATAAACAAATACGTATGTAGAGTCTTTGATTTAAGTGTCATTATTAATCAATGATACAAAATTCGTTAAAATTATCGATTCAAAGTTAATCGTTTTATATTATCAGAACGAGATTCTTCGTATAATTAGGTAAACATGTTCGAGGGTCACCAATATAATTATATTACATTTAAATCCAATGTATTGGCTTATCCACGACCTTGTAACACATTGTGAGGTAACCCAAATATAAAGACAATTATGCAACGAAAGCTTTGTATACTCTTGTATATTCATAAGATTATAATAATATGATAACTGGCTTTACGTGTATTGCTTCGCGCGTGGTGGGTTTTAGATTTGTCTCGAACATGTCCCGGTCCATTTTTGTTAAAAATGAACCATTTTAGAGCCTATGCAAAACCTAACAAAACAAAATTAAACTACATAACATAACATCACGTCTTTTATCTCCGGAGGGGTAGGCAGAGGTAAATTACGGCATTTAATGCCACTGTACAATGTAAGTGTGTAGTGTCGTGGTGGCCCGGAGGTTTAAGACGCCCGCTTCTCCATGCATGAGGGTGCGGGTTCGAAACCTACCAACGGCAAGTACCAATGTGACTTTTTCCGAGTTATATGTACTTTCTAAGATTATTGAGATACCACTGACAAACGGCGAAGGAAAAAGATCGTGAGGAAACCTGTGCTTATAATTTCTAATTATAAGTTTGAAATCGCCAACCCGTATTGAGTAACTTGTGATTAATGCTTAAACCTTCTTCGTGTGAGAAGAGGCTTTGCTCAGCAGTGGGCATTATAGGTTGTTGATGTGATGTGTACAATGTAACACCCACTTTTCACTATTTAGTTATGAGTCCCATGTAATAGGGGGTGAGCCTATTGCATTCACAATTGCAGACTCTGTGGTACTGTGGTTTTAAAGTCTCCGTAAGACTTTAAAAAAGCAATACTTTGCTCGACCCCTTGCCCAGCAGTTGCACTTGCGTCCACTCGGCCAACGAGGCAGTCAAAATAAAACTCTTTGGAATAAGTAACATTGTATTTATTTATTCTTTATCAAAGGTCACATTATAAACCAGTTTCTTTATTCTTATGCTGTTTTTGCTGTGACTTTGAATTTAAGGAAAGATAAACGAAACATTTAATGTTTTTTTTTGTTATTTACCTAGTCTCAGCCGTCAGCGTGATGAAGGTTTATAAGAGTAACTTAGTTATAATAAAAAATAATTGCCCACGCAACTCCGACGCCGTAATAATTACCCATAGCGGCCATGGCAATAAAAAATAAAATATTTTTGCCTATAATTATGTTGTTTCACACACTATTTCCTTTGCAATGAAACTCGTGTAGTCGTACTTACTTTTGCTTAGTAATTTATATGATAATAAGCGTATTTACTGTATTTAGTAGTCTTGTCGATTGTAAAATAATTTTGAAAATTCGTAAAGACTGTGAACAGAGGTCAACGATCTAAAATTGTACGCGTCTTACTTGTTGTTACAGAGAATTTCAAAATCTATAAAGTGCTTACGAAAAAGTCTATAAAATAAAATAAAATGATATTTTCGTAATTTATCGCATCGCATTTGCGATCACCTTTTTGCAAACACGAGCTTTAAGTGTTGTTACGCGTTTCATTACAAATAATTATCATAATACCTATTGCGCTCTATAATTACCACATTAATTTCGCAAAAAAATTTGTTCTTTAATAGTATTTGTCCTCCATAAAAACTGCTACAGGTAATAAATATAATCAATTTTATATGTTTCTATTCTATATTAATTCCAAAAAAATAAGCATCTGTAAGCAACGTGTGATGTATGTGTTTTGACTTGAGTAAGAGATCGTACTCTATATCACTGAGTTCTATCTATCCCCATGTGACGAAAATCATTTGTGTGTGTGTCTACAAATATATAATATAGGTAGTTGTGTATACGAAATAATAAAATATAATAATTTAATTTCCAGCCCCCTTACAATGACGGGTCAGCAGCGTCAGGTTTCATCGGCATGAAACCGTCGACGACGAAGGCTCACCTAGTGCGCGCCGTGCTCGAGTCCCTCGCGTTTAGAACTGCGCAACTATACAACTGCGTGCTCAACGAAACTAATTACTCCTTCCATACTATCAGGTGACTATTTTTTTTATGGCAGACGGATCACCTGATTGTAGGCAATCGGCGTCGCCCATGGACACCTGGAACACCAGAAGCGTTACAAGTGCGTTACCGCCCTTTAGGGGATTAGGAGTTTGAGGATTTTTGGGGATTCGGGGATCGGGGAGATTGGGGAAGGGGGGAGCGAGCTAATCTCACTCACACGACGAAACACAACGCAACTATTGTTGTGTATCGTGAGAAACAGTGGCGGCTGGTTTTCAAACAGATGGTGCACTTTACTAAAATATTAAAATTAAAAAATGCAACAAAACAAAAATTAACATAAATATTTTTATTTTTTATTTACGTCGTCACATTAAATCAATGTGACGACATTTTTCTGAAGTGAAATGTTTAATCACTACTATCTTTTGTTTCGCACGCCAGGCGTATTCACTCGTATCTCCAAGTTAAGTGTATGTATTAGCAGGCCTCTTGCACTCGCCGAATCGCACGAACGTTTGTCTTTATAGGAAAATAAAATAGGTCTTATGGTTTAGTAAAGCGCTCAAACTGTTTCACCATATTTGGAGAATTAATTTCTTATACGTTTTTGTATGTCTAAAAATAAATATTAAAATGGTAATATAGAAATAAAGATAAACAATAAAAATAAAGATGAATAAAGATTACAAAATATTAAGTACTTAGTAAGTTAATAGTAAGTTACTACTTAATATTTTGTAATGTCCTGTTAATAACTTGTAGGAGATACGAGTGAATACGTCTGGCGTGCATTGAATATAATGAATGTAATCTTTTGAATTGGTGGTTCAGCACACGAGCGCACTTAAGGTACAGCCGCCACTGGTGAGAAATACTAAATTGATTTAAAAATAGAAGTCTGTGCTGAGGGCTCAGTACGAATTTGTTTTACGTTTAAACTAATCGAACGAGACCGCGTCCGGTGCCCTGATGTTTAACTGGAGCCGGCCAATCAGCCTTCTGTACTGTTCATCGATAAGTACCATTGTGACTTGAAACTTGTGAGTAGAGCTTCCTAGTACGTAGTTATTTTTAATCATTGAGGTAACGAATTCGAGAAGTAATAATTACCTACCAGTTTCCATTTGACTCGCAAGATATTGTAAATTATACCCTTTTGTAATAGTGTGTAAGTTTGACATGTTTAAAAGGAAAAGGTATTAAATAAACTTCATACAACTTCAAACTTGTCGGTGATGACCTAGAAATGCCATAAGTATGTAGATACAAAAGCAAGCAAACACCTAAGAATTTTCATTATTATGTTTACAGACTGGATGGTGGTGTCTCAAACAACGATTTCATCGCTCAGTTAGTGGCCGACCTCACAGGACTGCGCGTTGAAAGACCGGTCCACGTAGAAATGTCCTCACAAGGATGCGCCCATATAGTTGGATACAAATTAGGTATATTGTCTTACATTTCTTATTACCTATAACTATACTGTTTTAAACTGTCAAACATCGCGAGGACCGTTGACCGCAACCTATTGTTCTTTAATTGTGTCTATAATGACAGTACTCAAAGGGTTAATGCATATTAACCATCATAGTTTTGTATTGTTATTACGTGTTAAACAATGCTTAGTCCTTTGAGGGAAACTGATGCCAAGCCATTGTAATCTCTATGTTTCATTGGTCAAAAACTACTTTCAGGTATATGGAAATCGAAAGACGAGTTGAGGAGGTTACGCAAAATTGAGTGCGTGTTCACTCCGCGGACGTATATGAAGAAGTCGTACGAGGTGACGTTCTCGCGGTGGCAGGACGCGGTGCGGCGCATGTGCGGCTGGTACAGCGGCGGCGCGGAGGCGGCCGCGGCCGGCGCCCCTGACTGCGCCGCGCCGCTCACGCCGCAGCCCAGCTTCAAGCTGCTCCCCGCGCGCAAGAAAAACGGTAGTATATCCAAATAGCGGTGGCTTTACTGCCTCCTCGCCGCCTGCGCCGCGTGCCTCCCCATATACAGATGATACACGTCCTGCAAACACTTAATCAAAGTGCTCCAATACCTCCTCTACGTGTTACAAGATTTCCGACGCAGCATATAGTGCCAGTCAAACTCAGCTCGTCCGGCGAACTTGTTAATTAAATGAACTTTTTCGATGTACAGTCAAACTGCACGTCGGTGATATCACTAATCTTCAAGTAATGTACTTTATTTCGTAAGCAAAAATGTCGAGTTTCATAAATCGAGTGTAAATATTGAAGTGACGTTAACCATACTACTCAAAGTGGTAATGTGAACTATCGTTTTAGTGCCTGTTAAAATATTTAGATACTGAAATACTGTTAAGCTATATCAAAGATTTATAATCGTTAAGAGAATACTTTAATATTAAATACGATGTAAATAGTACGCCAGAAGTTACGCTTTATTGTAAGTAGTGGTGGTATACCCGGTGTTTGTTTCGTGTATTTGTCACGAACGAGCGTATACGCGCAATTACGAGCAAATACGTGCGTATACGTGACATCAACACCGAAAACAGGCCCGGAGTCAAGCCTTTAGGTGTCTTAGGTATCTATATGCAATATTCCCGCTCAAAGGTTGGTGATTGGTGTTAGAAAATGTATGTTTGTAAAATTTCATCTTATAAAATTGTTGTTTCGTAATTTCTACGTTGTAATTATTGAAATCTACTAAAAAAACTCTTTCTTAATGAGGCCATATAACATGGTAATATCTAAATAATTTTGATGATTTCAACATTCAAATATTGAACTGTCACACATATTATGATTTTCTATTTAAAATTAAATGGGTATCTGGTATCAGAAATATAAACAAAATTATTTAAATATGTTTAATAAAAGTATGCTTATTAGTATTTATTTAATACTCAAAAACTGATTAAAGGATTAATTAAAATAAAAATGAATTATGCGCAATTTTGCGCAACTATCTTGCGCAATTTTCATAAAAATTTGACATTTTAATTTTGAACATGACATTTATGTTTAGCTTGAATGATTTTTAGGATACAAGTATCTGCAGCTGTAGCCAAATGCCATTTAACGCGTGTCTACTTGTAGAATAGAAAACCAAATTATATGGAATTGACGTAAATTTTGACATTTATCAGTGTCATCCCCATACATTTAGTTTTCTACTCTCTCCGTAGACAAGCGCTAAAATGGCGTTTGGCTAATAAAGGCCCTGATGAACTCGGCTATTATTTGGCTATTATTATAATTGAATTTCTATCTTGCCAACAGGCTGACTATTGCCTTACAATGTTTAAGTTTATTAGAAATTAATGTGTCTGTCTCTCTAGTGAAAAAGTTGTATGTATGTGTGTATGTCTGTGTGGTGTATGATGAAATGTCTTCATCTGGTGATTCTTCCTGCTCATTCTATAGCTATATGGTTTACATAGGTATCCCCAGGCTGTAATCGTGAATATTAGAAAGACAATATTTTATATTCCTTTGTAAGTAGATAGATAGCAATTACAAATTGTTACCTCGGTTATGCAGCTAAATATATTGTTCCTATTTAAGTTACTTTATTCAATTTGAAGGTTTTTGTACGAAATCATTGTTTTTTTATTACCTATTTTGAATTATTATAGTATTATCTTAAGTTTTCATGATCATGGTAACGCGAGTTAAACCATTGACCGGATTAATCGCATATATTTAGATTTTGCGCGTAATCTAAACGTCAAGAGCACAGATTCAAAATATACGCGATTCAGCCAGTCGTTAAACTTTTTTTGTTTATTTTTAGATAGAAATAGGTTTTAATTCAGCGATTTTAAATGTAGACTAAGCGAAACTATTCTTAATAATTTTGTATGATCTATCTCTATTAATGTAATTAGGGAATTCGTTTTAGACAAACAGTACATTGTTTTACTTGAAATATTTTTTATTATTTGACCTAATTAATGCAATATGTGGACATCGAAACCCTGCCATGTGGCAGCTAGTTTAGTAAACAGAAAGTTTATCATTATTTTATTTATCGAGACATTGTAAAAAAATTACTTAAAAAGTAAATTCTATAAAATGCCAAGTTAATAGTATGTTGTTTTTTTCCTTCCTCTATTATCTGTAGTGCTGTATATTCTTAATTATGTTTAAGAAAATAAATAGTACAAATGAGACAATTCCTGATTTAGTTTCTGTTAACAGTTTAACTTATTGAACATACAAATGTATCAAATGTACAAAAAAACCCGTTTCCCGTTGTCATGTCATAACTTGAGAATGGCTGGACCGATTTGGCTGTTTTTTTTGTTGTGTTTGTTATTATCAGGAGAAGGTTCTTATGATAGAAAAAAACCCTGATAATCTTATGGGAACGGGAGAAAACGAAATTGCGCCTACGAAGTTGCGGGCAGAAGCTAGTTCAAAATATAAGTCAGTGACCTATGAAATACTCAAACGCTACTCAATTTTAAGTCGCGCTTCGTTCACTAAAAATTCTTTGTGAAATGACAGAGATGGCACGATATTTAAGTACAACTTAAAATTGAGTACCCTTTTAGTATTCAGGCGTTAGGCTAACAATAACTTAATCTAACATTTACCTTTAACCCGTCGCTTGCCTAAACATATTTTGTATTGTGTCTTATATTCATTTAAGCTGGTAAGTTATCATGGAAAATCTTTGGAATAAAAGAACAGTTCACATAGGTAAAAGAAGAATATTCCGCATGAAAACGATATCAGAAAAACAAATAGTAAATTAAAATAATTTATTTAAACTACAGGACACACTTTGACACACTACAAAAGCAATCATACAATCAGCATTTCTACTAAATTATTATTCCAGAAATAAGTAAGGATAATGAACTAAATTCTACTTAAGATTTATCTTCACTACTCGCGATTCCTCATTTTGACGTTTCCCTTTCCATATTTCAGCTGCGAAAATTGCGAGTGAACATAAGGACCCAATGAATAGAATCGTAAAAGCAACGCATTGGTCCCTCAACCTTATTTTGAACAAAGGTCGTGGCAGGCTGCGGTTGTCGTCTGTAACCAATCTAGGGATGTCCAGCATCTGCTGGGTCCACTTGTAGTACATTGTCGGAAGGCCAGCTTCTTGTAGACGCTCCGTGAAATATTGGACGTCTTCGAAGAATGGAAAGTCTAAGAAAGAATAATAAATAAAATATGTTAAATATCATCTTATTCGACTATACAATAATTATTTAAAGGGATAACTGGGCAATTGAGCAGACCTAACATCTGATAGTGCGGTTTTGGCCTTTTATGAGGAAAGGAAGGAAATTTGAGGGTGGTTACGCAGAGACATACAGTGGGAGAAAGAGAGAGAGAGAGAGGAAGGGGTGAAGTGGGGGAGGGGGAGGGAGTAAAAGAGTAAATCATTTGTGATAACTCCTTGCACTCACCTGACCGCGCAACGTATGACAAATAATACGTGTAGAAACATTCGTCCACTATGTCGATCATAGGCGTACCAAATCTGTCTGTGTAGTTCTGCATAATCTGCATGAAGGCGTCTGATTTTCTGTCTATAGTGACTAAATCTCGACGATGCATTAGTGTACCTGGAAATTAAAACAAAGTTATAAATCAGGTAGGTATAGTTAAGAGGGAAGTGTAGCTTTGATGAAAATAATCAAGGAAATAATTTAGTACGATGTAGTGTAGTGTAGTATTGCGCATTCGCATGTAGAATATTCTGAATTACTCGCCTATTTGCCCATTAACTGTCACAAATACGCGATCAAAGTACTCTTGTTGCAGCTTGTCCCCAGGGTTCTGTAGTTGTTTCATGAATTGCTTCATTGTAGGAGAAGTAAACATAGTAGTCTTTGAACCGTATAGATCTCGTAGCGTTCTAATTTGTCGAAAATGTTTCACTGTTGTGAATACTCTGCTCATGTGACTCTGAAAAGGATTAAGATTAACCGGTACGAAATAACCAGGACATTACGTTAGAGCAAAATAGGGTGTCTTATGGTTTTACCTATGTAGACTTACTTGATATAGAGCTAATATCAGAATTGATCCCATTAGACACGCGCTTCTTATCATCAGAAAAGATTTTGTATTCATCTGCGAATAACCAGTCATAGTTGACAATACGCTGGTGTACAAATATCTCCAGAATGTCTCCATCTCTGAACCGGTCAACGTTTTGTTTACCAGCGCAGTGGCCCATAGGATGCAAGCTATTGCCACCAACACCATGCCCGTCAGAGCCCACAGTTCTGGAGAAAACATATCAAACACACCTTGCCAAATCGGTATGATATCAGGTTTTTTAATTAAAGCACACAATTTTTCAGTCTTGACATAATGCAGGTAATAAAGATGTTCATCAGAATATAGTGTCATGAATCGTGAATTGAAGGATATGTCCACCTCATTGCGAATGATACATCCCAACACACCACTAACGTTGCCCGGAGCCGCGTACCCGTAGTTGTCGCAGTTTTCATTTTCCGGCATGGTCAGATTAAACTTTAAATGTGAGAGGATGTCGTGCATCACCATTCCATCTACACCGCAATACCCACCAGTCAACTTTAAATTGTAACACGAGTCATAGTAGCGCATATTCTTGCAGTCTTTAATAGATGTAGGATATCTATAAAATATACTTCCCCGCATAGGATAGTCATCAGCCAATTTTTCACCGCTTTGCTTTATAGCCAAATACGTGTTATGGTAGTTGGAATTATTGTATAATTTAACCGATCTATCATATAAACCTTTAGACGATGGACGCTTTCCGTGATAGAGAAGAACTTTTTGTTCGCATGCAAAGGGAAATAGTATAGCAACTCGCATGATTTGAAACCTGTGCCACAGAACATTCATCATTCTTTCTAGCAATGACAAGTTCCTCGTGTCCATTGTGCCATTCTCGCATTTAAACTTGTCTCCAGTGATCACAATGAACAATACAGACCACCTGGATCTAAAAAAGAACTTCCAAATTGAGGAGTCGATCATCGTCGGTGTCAAATATTTTGTCATGACTATAACATTGGGGTTATCACTGGTTTTTATAAAGTTTCTGGTGACGTTGACTCTAATGTCTATCTTTGTAGCGTACACGCTTATTATGATCCGCGAGAGATTAGAAAGGCTGTTCTTTAAGATGCATGTTTTTATTTCGGGTTGACTGTGCACGTCCATATCGAAAAACACTGTTTGAGAGTAATATTCAACTGGTATTACTATATCATTACAATCTACTTCAACTGGCATGAGTTTGCGATTGAGTTCGGAGATAGAGATCGCGAGAAAGGTGGTCATCACGAAGAGGACTGGAATCTTCATTTTGGCTGCTATCTATGTCGACGTCGCCGTAAAACTAGGTATTTGTATCCATTGCAAGTTTCGCTGTTCTATTTCGTAAAGTATTCGGTAACGAGTGACAGGAATCTCATTGTATAAATACTTGATGATTACTTTTTGGTGTTCACATAAATCACCAGCAAATGTTTGCTCAGTCCATCTGATAAAATTGCTATTACGGTTATTAAGGTTGAAGATTTTCATATTGATGATGACATTCTTCAACAAAAGATATTTGATTTGTCGGCAATCACAAAACACAATCTCATAATCGGTCCTCGAGACGTCAAAATGTGATATGTAATAATTTCTAGATCAATTTTAAATGAGCGCTTAACACGCGACTGTTTACTTACTTTTACGTGAGTTGGTACATAACTATATAGACTTGTATTGTTGATGTAGGTACCTACATAAAAATATTTAAAATGCTTTTTAATCTATTTGACATGATACCCGAACTGTGGTTTCGAATGAAACGAACTACTTACTAAGTTGATGACCACGAGTTAGCCTGTGAATTAGAAAATCATCGAATAAGATCTTCCGCCTGGGTGAGGCAAGAGGCATAGGTGTGTTTCTCACCATAGGTTATGAATGCATTAAGTAGGTATAGCTAAATAGGTACTAACATGGGTCATATTGGTTATTATAATTAAGTATGTCATTATGCTGAGCGCAATATAATTATGAGTTATCTCCCCTTAACTTAAGACTTAATCCAATTTATTTTGTCGCTATGACCATTTCTGTAAAATAATAGGTAGCCATTTTGTTCTAGTTTCTTTAGTTTCAATTGCCTAGGTATGGTCCTACTTCAAGAAAAGATACAAGAGGGTATAAATAAAATTGCTTTCTACAAGCTAGTCGATATTGTTGAATTAAACACAATTTGCATTCCAAACATTAATTTATTAAATAAGTACATTAGTTGCAATCAGCTAGATTGTAGACATAAAGTGCAAAAACAGATAAATCTATACAAATCTTGCTTCCTACTACTAAATTTAAACGAAATGAAGTAAAATGTCTAATCTACGGAATTCAGATCTACCCCGGAAAGATCCGGAGGTTATACGCCGGGGTCGTGCGGTCCATGGCCCTCTACGGCGCCCCTGTTTGGGCGCCGAACCTGCTGCAGCGGCCCGCTCGGGCGCTGCTTATGGCACAGAGGGTCATGGCGATCCGAATGATCCGCGGATACCGCACGATCTCTGGGGAGTCGGCGAACCTCCTTGCCGGATTACCGCCGTGGGATCTGGAGGCGAAGGTGCTCGCGCGCGTGTATCGCATGCGCGCGGAGGCACGTCGCCGGGGCGAAACTCCGCTGCCGCGCCAGATAAGTGCGTGGCGGGATGAGCTCCGGCGCGATCTCATGGCGGAATGGCAGCAACGACTGTCGCAACCGAGGGCTGGGCTCGCTGCCATTGCAGCGGTAAGTCCCCTCTTTGAGGAGTGGCTTGAGAGACGCTACGGCGTCCTCACCTACCGCCTGACGCAGGTCCTCACCGGACATGGAAGTTTCGGGAGGTACCTGTGTCTGATGGGGCGGGAGGAAACGCCCGGGTGTCATCACTGCGAGGACCGCCCTGAGGACACGGTGGAACACACAGTGGGAGAATGCCCTGCGTGGGCTGAGCACCGCCGTGCCCTCAGGGAAGTGATCGGCGATGGCGACCTCTCGCGTCCGGGCCTAGTGCAGGCCATGATGCGGAGCGAGGGGGACTGGGATGCCGTCTCCTCCTTTTGCGAAGCAGTCATGCTAGCTAAGGAGGAGGCGGGACGCGTGAGGCAGCGAAGCGCTGCCTCCTCGCAACCCAGCCATCGCGAAGGACACACCGGGCGTCGGGGATCGCGGGACGATCTCCGGCCACCGTAAGCGCGGGCCTGCGGACGGCGAGCATGGGTGGCTCCCCGTCCGACCAGAAACAGACCCGAGCGTACGGCGCGTCGCGTTCCGCGCGCGCCTCAAAGAGCCATCAGACCACCACAGATGGGGCCCAATAGGGCCGATGCCGATTCGGAGTCGCGGAGAACCTAACGGGTAACCGGGGCTCCGGCTCGACGTGCAGGAGAAGGAACGGGGTGGTTTTTAGTCAGTAAGAGTCTGACACTCCCTTCCGCCTCACCCGGGCGGGAGCAGTCATTCGATGATTTTCCCCCCTTAAAAAAAAAAAAAAAAAAACCCCGGAAAGATTTACAATCTTTTAATAATGAAAAAAGGGTTTATTCAAAGTAATAAACGTAGTTTAGAAAAAATATTACTTCTGCCAAACTGTAAAACAGTTAGTTATCAGATGTAGCTCCCTTAAATGATACAGTTAAATAAAATTAGTATAAAACGTAATAGTATCGAGCGCGTTCGGCGCTCTGATTGGCCGGCTCAAGTGAACCAACCAATCAGAACGCTTAACTCGCTCGATACTGTTACGATACCAATGCGATAGTTATTCGTGCTTGGCGCTCTGGTAACTATTACGGGTGAATTTCGATGTCAAAGTTTTTTATACTAATTTTATTTAACTGTATCATTTAAGGGAGCTACATCTGCTTACTAACTGTTTTACAGTTTGGCAGAAGTAATATTTTTTCTAAACTATGTTTATTACTTTGAATAAACCCTTTTTCATACCTAGTTTGAGTAGGACATAAACTTTATCTATATATCCATAAAGGAGGCCTTAACTTTGTTGAGAAGAAACTTCACCATTTTGTTTTTTAATGAAAGTTTGGTTGTACAACTACTTTCCAAATTGACTAGCATGTCATTAAATATTGTTGGGGCTAAGCATTTTTTACATCTTTGCCCATACTAGTTAACAATAATAGGTACTATGAATCTTCTAATTGTTTTCTGTCTTTGGGGTCTTTAAAGAGTATCTACTGTAATTTAAGTGTTAAGTGTAGCAGATTCATTAATATTTTTGGTAAGACGTTTTCCATTCCATATTTCAACTACGAATATAGCCAAAGAACTTATTACACCGAGTGCCAGTATCGCAAAAGCAACACTTTGATCAGTTAACGTTATTTTAGAGAAGGGTCGTCGTGCTTGGTTGTGGTAGTCTGGTACAGTGTTTGGTATGTCCAGCATCTGCTGGGTCCACTTGTAGTACATCGCTGGAAGACCTGCTTCTTGTAGATGCTGCATAAACCTTTGCACAGTTTCGAAAAACGGAAAATCTGTAGCAGATAAAGTAAAAGTATTAGAAGCAATCAATGACATTAAAATGAATGATTAATTAGCTAATGAATTTACTATTGAAATTTATAAGTAGTAGTGTGCTTTTGTACGAATTGGGCTACAAATACGAAGGATAAAAAGAGAACAATAATCACTATCTAAGCTTGTAATATGAATCTAATAAATACTGTTTTTAGAATCTTTGTAGTTTAACCATCTTTGGAATACTACATCTTACCTGATCGTGAAATATATGACACGTAATAGGTCCTGAAGCATTCTTCCAATATATCTATAAGAGGCATCCCAAAAGGATCGGAGTAATTTTTGAGGATTTCCATTTCAGCGTCAGTTTTTCTATCTATTGTGGCTAGGTGCGGATTCTCCAGAAGTTTTCCTGTAAAGTTATTTTTCATAACGTCTATGTTTCAAATTACCTAGGAACATTCTGATCATATATATTTATTTATTTATTCTTTAATGTACATAATTTGTTAATGGCATAAGGCGAACTTAATGCCATATGGCAGTATATATCATATTCAAATCAAGTAACTAATTTGTGTTTTTTTGGGGTAGGCGGGTAAACGGTAAACGGATCATCTGATGGTAAACAAGCGGCGCCACCCATGGACATCCATGGACACCTGCAACACCAGAGGGATTTGAGGATTGGGGATTTGGGTAATGGGGAGATTGGGGAGGGGAGAAATTGCGCCTTTTTTATGTTCGTGATAGTCCGCAATAGTCGTTGTATAGTCCAGGACTGTCATCTCACTCACCGAGTCGTTCCCCAGTCGTCAAAGATGCCCTATTAAAGAATTCACTTTGCAGTCCGTCATCTGGATTCTGTAATTGCCTCATAAATTCTTTCATTGTTGGAGAGGTATATAAACTTGCTCCAGAACTGTATAAGTCTTTTAGAGTTTTTATTTGAGGAAAATGTTTTATTGTTGTGTACACTCTACTCATATGACTCTGAAATTAATTAATTTATGAAGTTAAGTATGTAAAATCTTTCAATAACATAGCAGTAGTGTTAGAGATTGTTAACTAAATATTTTTTTGTTTGTAGGTGAGTAATTCACTTACCTGATAAACAGCTAAAAATAAAATAGACCCCATTAAGCACGCGCTCCTGATCATAAGATATGTTTTGGTTTTCATCGGTGAATATCCAATCATTGTTGATATCACGCTAGAGTACAAATAACTCCAGAATGTCTCAGTCTCTGAGCCCTTCAATGTTTTGTTTACCAGCGCAGTGGCCCATAGGATGCAAGCTATTACCACCAACACCACTCCTGTCAGTGTCCACATCTCCGCAGAAAAAAAATTATACACTCCTTGCCAAAGTGGTATCATGTCAGGTCTTTTTGTTAAAGCACATAATGTGTCGATTGTAACGTAATGCAGATAATAAATATGTTCATCCGAGTACATCGTCATGAATCTAGAATTAAAGGATATGTCCACTTCGTTGCGAATGATGCATCCAAGCACACCACTCGCGTCGCCCGACCCGTAATTGTTACAAGATGGATTTTCTGGGACGGTAAGATTGAATTTTAAATAAGTCAGAATGTCATGCATTACCATTCCATCCAAACCACAGTACCCGAGTGTCAAATTCAAATTAAAATGCACATAGTAATGCATATTATCACAATGTTTGATAGACGTAGGAATTCTGTGGAATATACTTCCTTGCATAGGATAGTCATCAGCCAAATTGTCACCACTTTTCTTAATAGCTAAATACGTGTCTGTATTATTCGAGTTGTTATATATTTTAATAGATCTATCATATAAAATATCGGAGGATGGTTGCTTGCCGTGATAAAGGATGATTTTTTGTTTACATGCACGAGGGAATAACAAAACAACACGCATAATTTGGAATTTGTGCCATAGATTGTTCATAACTTTCTTGAGAATTAGAAAATCCTTTGCTTCCATCGTGCCATTAGTGGTACACTTGTATTTTTTTTCGCCAGTAACGATCATATAAAGTACAGACCATCTGGATTTATTGAAGAACTTCCACACTGGAGAGTCTATTACCTTCCTTGTCAAATATTTCGTCATGATCATCACGTTAGGGTTATCACTGGTTCTTATGAAAGTTCTTGTTATATTGAGCCCGATGTCTATGTCTTTACCAAACACGTTTAGTAAGATCACGGTGTGGTTAACGAGGCATTCTTTCAGTATACATGTTTTTAACTCCGGTTGACCGAACACATCCATATCGAAAAGCACTGTCTGTGAATAATGTTCAACCGGTATTACTATATTACATTTCTTTACTAATGGCACGAGTTTGGGATTAGGTTCAGAGAAAGAGATTGCTAAAACGATCATCGTCATGAGCAGAACAGAGGTCTTCATTTTCGCTACAAGAATGGAGAAGAAGAGTATATCTAAAAGAGAATACTTTTAAGATTAATCCTTCAACCATTAAAGATAGGTAAAAGAGCTAGAACGACTTTCTTGCTTTAATATAGGTAGACAAGTTTCTATTGATCATTATCGGGTGTCACAAAAATCACTTGAACATGTTTGGCAAGTCCATCTACCTGATAGCATTAAAAAACATATTAAAAGTTGAAGAGAAAGTACATACACTTTAGTAATCACCTCTTGGAAAATATATTTGAATTTCTATTTCATGAATGTAAGTGTACATTAATATTAAATTGTATGGCGTACTTCCATACAAATTCTGGCCTTGTTATTATTCGACAACGTTATATATATCAATCTTTTACATAGGTACTATATATGTGCCTATCAAGTCTAGCGTTCTTATATATATAGGTACATATACTATCTCCTGATTTCACAATATTAACACAATGGAACTCTAAAAACATTTACTTTTTATGTTAAAATCAAGATTTACACTCCTTATAGATGTACAAATTAGCATGTTGTTATATCAATAACAGACTATGGTATATAAAGTATCTTCGCTGTAAATTGTAAGGCCATTGTCACGAACAAGTCGGGAATGGCAAAACTTTTAATATTTTTAATATTTGTGGCTATACTGGCGATTGTAAGAGGACGGAGTTTTGATGGACTGCTGCTGAACCCAGAATTATTGAAGAGTGCTATAGAAATTCGGGTTGGAAACGACTACATGGATTACAGTCCGTACCATTCGTTTTTGTTGAGAGAAGTTGCTGAAATTCCCGTTACTCCCGGCAGTATTTTGGAAATTATGGAAAATCGTGTTTAAAACATGGACTTTGTAAGCAGAAAGAAGACTTTTTATGATCGTGTGGACCCAAATAAGGACTATACTCGTATTTTACCTTTACGTTTTTAGGCGAATTGATATAATATTGTTTAGTTTACTTATCTATTTATTTTTTTAATTGTATGTAGTTCTATGTAATATTTACTTATTTTTTATATAGGTACCTTGTGTAAGTAAAATTATTACTTAAGTAACGATGTTAGATATTATATAAAATGTTTGTAAAATAGTGTAATTGAGTAATTTAAGATATAAATCGGAAAAATAATAAAGACATTCGGTTTGACATGTTGTATGATTGATTTCTTTCGTGTTTCCAATTCATTAAGGTGTCACAGAGATGATTAATGCTTATCGTAAGCTTAATTTTTTATCAAACCAGCATCACCTGTGTATTCTTTTGTTCCTTTTACAATTTTATTTTATTTTACATACATACAGACAAACATGCTTTTTTTGAGGGGGGAAAATCATCCAATCACTTCTCCCGCTTGGGTGAGGTGAGAGGAAGTGTCAGACTCTTACTGACTAAAAACAACCCTGTTTGTATCGTAGCCCCGGAATCCTATTAAGCCCTCCGCTGCTCCGTATCGGCATCAGTTCTATTGGGCCCCATCTGTAGTCGTCGGGGTGTCCTCTATTCCGAAAAGGTAGGCAGAAATCAAAACCACAATCAGTATGATCACAGCTGTCGTACCTACAAGAATTTTCCTTATTTAATTTATAGTTTCTAGCTAATGTTTTGATTACACTAACTTGTAAATATATAAAAATTAAAATATGTTTGTAATTTGGTTGAGCAACTGTCACGGATTCCATTCTCTGCCCGAAGGTAGTTCGATCGTCAAATTGTTACCGTTAACAACTGGATACATGCATTTCTAAATAGTACCTATACGAGTCGATCTGCCTGACATTACAGTTATCATTGCCCCACTTATCTGGAGGGTATACTATGTTTGCTTAGACGTAGTTTCCATTCCAGAACAATAACATAACATAACATCACGCCTTTTATCCACGAAGGCGTAGGCAGAGGTGCACATTATGGTACTTACTTAACCCGTCGAGCGTCAGCGTTCCTTATGATCCAACGGGTGCACACGTGACATTTGGAGCATTTTTTCTTATGATCCACCGGGTGCTCATAAGGACACTCGAGGGGTTAATGCCACTGTACATAAATAACACACACTTTTCACTATTTTTGTTATGAGTCCCATGTAATAGGGGGTGATCCTATTACCATAAAGGTCATAATAGCAGAGAACAGATATCTTGATTCAAAATAAAGACTTAACTAGCTTCTAACTAGCATAGCGACTGTAAACAACGAATTCTTAGGACGAATTCAAGACCTTTAAAGGATTCTTTTGCAACCATGAAGTTCTAGTTGAACACAACACTAAAGTTGGTATTTTTAGGACCATTTCTGCTGATACAAGTTTTAGTTTACCTACTTATGATATCGAATGTTAAAAACCCGAGTGCCTTCAATCAGAGTACATTTTTATGTACTCTTGTAAGGGAGTCGAAGCACAAATCGCCCCCTTTTCTTTATGAAGTGCTTGTTACACTTGAGACGTTTTACAATTTGGGGCGCCTACTAGTATGGGGCGGCAAAAAGTAAGCTTAGAGCAATTTTTGTATCGGATTTGGGGTGCGATTAACCCGTATTGGGCGGGCGGCGAGTTGTAAGATTCTCCGTATTATACAAGTTCTACCAAACTGATGACGATAGATAGTAATAACAGTAATATTGCTTGCGTCGAATGGGATTATTTCCCGGCGATGATATTTCTTATGTTTTCAGCTAATTCTGGACAACGATTTTGAATAGTAGGTTATCGCTGGATTTGCCGCCCCCATGATCGTGCGCCCCTGTGCTGTGCACGCTTTGCTCGCATACGGCAGGCCTTAAGATATGAACATTTTAGTTTGCAATCCTACTTTGAACATCTACCACTATTCAACATGAAATAAAATGAAAGGAAACAAAAGTGAGGCATCAAACACATTTAAATACAAAAATACATTTATTTCATAAAAAAATATAATACAGTAAGTAATTACATAAAAGAAATAGAAATCCTAACACGTTACATTTAACGAGTGGGTAAAATACAATTTGAAATAATATTACCTAAAATTCAGAGTCAGTTAGCGAATTCCAAATTTATTTAAGGTACAATAAGTTGCCAATAAGATACATTGCCGATTAATAACTAGTCGCATTACACACGCACTAGTATATTTCAGCAAGCCGAAAGTTTATAGCAACTTGTTGTACCGTAAAAAAACCTTTAGTTTAAAATTATTTAGTTGATTAGCCTACCCAGGTGGGGAGGAACTTGATCCTGCGGCCGTCGAGTCCCGCCTGACCGTTGTCAAATAGGAGACCGTCGTAGTTAGCCAGCAGGTCGTTGCTTGGGTTGTCTCCACGAAGAGCAGACCTCTTCACCACCGAGTGGGCAGGCTCTTTGGTGTCAACTGTGGGTGTAGTCGCATCGTCCACGAGGGCCACCACGGCTGGTACCTCTTCGATCACTTCTATCACTTCAAAAACTGGTGTGCCATCGTCAGATGTTGCTGTGGTCGTCTCAGCCAGCTGCTCGGTAGTCGCAGGAGCAGCGCACGCACAGCTCAGTAGCGCAAGCGAGAGAAGAATAATAATTGTTGAAGCCATGATCTTGGATGCCTCTAAGTAACTTCTCCGCGATGATTTGGGAATAATTCCCAGTTGATTGTATACGTTGAGCGTCTTCCGATGCTTACTTGTGTTTATGATTTTTCAGCCTGCATTCTGGTTATATACTATTAATAAAAAGGTGCTAACAAAAATTATCCAGAAATGGGCATCATTGACGCGTATCGTACCTGTATTGTTAATAGAAGGAGCAAATATTCTCAATAACATAATGACCATGAATACCCATTGTTGTGCACTATATTGAAAAACGATGACAAACAATTGGTTTACTTAAGTAATTTGTGAGTAAAAACGCATTTTGTAACGTGAGACGCGCATCCTTCCGTTTAATGATGAGTAAGGCTG